CTGGCACCCAGCAGTGCCAGGCTCACAGCTTCCACAGCCCCAGCCTTCCTCGTGCTGAGCTCTGAGGCAGCATCACTGTGCCCACAGCTGGCAGCTTCAGGGCAAGCACGCAGCTGTGACACTGAAGGGTTGAAGGAAAAGTGACACAACTTTAGTACTAAAAGCATGAGTACAAAAGCACACACAGCTCCACAGATCCTGTGCAGAAACACCCCACAGAAATCCACCAGTCTGTAAATTCTGGCTCTTTTGTGCCACATGTACATTTGCTATTTTCAGAAATTTATAAAACATACTAAAGGAGCACTGCATGAATGAAAAGTTACATCAGGTTTCTACTGCATCCTAAATTGTAGGCAAGATGACAAATGTCAGCTGAAACACTTCCTGACAAATAGTGCAGTATTTTTATTTCCTAAAGAGCATTTAACAAAGATTGTAACAGTGCTGAATCCTCTTACCATGGCCAGCTTCCAGGGTATCTCCAGTCACAGCAGTGTCCAAGGATTTAACAGGATTTTGCTGCTCATAAACCCACTCCTAAAGAAAGAGTTACAGGATTTTTACAACAGCACAAACTGTGGAGGGTTTTAATCCCACAGACAAGGATTTCAGAGTTTTCTCCATCATCCACTATTTCAGCTGAACTTGTTTTCCCAAAACACCCAGGGAAATGCTTAGAAAATGCTTAATTAATTAAATGCTTATAGGATTAGACATGGCAAATGAAGATTTTGTCTATTTTAATGTCTAACTTAGAGGTTTCTCCCCAGTTCAAAGCACCTTTGCAGCAGCAGCAGGGCTGGTGACAGTCACAGCTCGTTGTGGGGACAGGATGCTGCAGATCCTCAGCTCACTCCTGCTGCTCTTGCTCCCATTTTCTTTTAAGTTTTCTTTCAAAGCAGCTCCTCTGTTGCCCAACACGAACTTTTCACTCCACTGCTCCAGGTCTGGCTCTTTTTTAAAAGGTGCTTTGTTCTGAGCTGCATCAATTAAAAATAAAACAGAACCCAAATATATCACAAAGACAAACTTCAGGTTTTTCAATGAATCCTCTTTTTGTGTTTCTCCATCAAGAGGTGCAAAGAGTCAGGAAATGTTCTAGGCAGGGAGAAGAACACTTTTTTTAAATCTACTTTGAAGATAACATTATCAACCTTCAAAACAAAATAAGTGATTCTTTTCATATAAATGTTATTAAGACCACAAAAACAGAGAAGTAAAATGAAAACCATTCTCTGTTTCACAAAAAAAAAGTGCAAAGACATTAATGCCCAGTGAGAAATCCATCAAAGAGTACAGATCTAGGAACTAAAACTAAGGAAAGAGACCCAAAAAGATGAGTTTTCAGAGAAACCACTAATCAGGGTGCAATAAGATGTTTAAACAAACCTCAAACCAAGCACAAACACCTGTGCCAAGCCTAATAAAGGAAGAATATTTTGTTTTATAAAGAAGTATTTCTAGTTTCATACTTCGAGCCTAAGGGAAGAGCTGATATTTGAGGTAAATCACTGACCAGGACATTTAATCAACTTACAGGAACCTCCTTGCTGGGAAGGCTCCCCCAGGTGGGAGAGCCCAGCCTCCCCCTCAGCTTCCTGCAGGGACTCAAAGGAGGCTTGGAAAGCGTCGATCTTGTCCTTCAGAGACCTCACACTTGCAGGTTTGAAAGGACAGATCTGCCAAAACAAAATTAATCCCATCAGGCATTTCTTCCCCCACATTGCAGCTTTAATGTTCTGTATTCACACATGGACATAAAATACAAAGAATCTAGCATTTAATCTGGCTGCAATTATAGCTGTAAAGAAAAATAAGGAAAAGAGGAACTTTACCACAAGTCTGGTACATTTTATTGCATTTAATCTGCTCCTCTAGTCTAGAATTTGCTTTCTGACGGCCCAGGATAACTCAAATTATGAACAAATCTGATTAACCAAGTCACTCACCCTTGAAATTGACTTCACTTGGAACCAGCAACATTTTAATTACCCAAAAACCAAGTGCAGCAAACACAGGAAGGTAACAAAAATTAAAATTTATCAGCAAGCTCAACATGGAGAAGAAATCCCAGCCTCCACACAGTGTAAACAAAAGCTGGAACACCCCCTTGTCCTGGGACAGCAGCACATGAATGCCATGTTATCCCTGTTGCTGATTCTTGCCAAGGCTCACCTCCCCTTCTCCCAGCACAGGGGGCTCCTGGAGGGAGTGGGACTCCCCGTGAGATCTTTGGGAAGGATCTCACCTGGGTGAAAGCTTCCTTCTGCCTGCTGCTCCTCTGCTGGGCCAGGTACCGGATCAGGGTGTTGTTTTCTGGTGAGCCCCTCAAGCCAATGGTTGATCTTCTCCTAAATTTTAGTGAGCTTGGGGATGTCCCTGAAAAGGGGACAAGAAGAGAGGTTAAAAAGAAAAACAAAGCACAAAACCACAAAAATGTTTTGTAATACCTAAAGCTTTAAAATGGTAATTTTGTCTTTTTTAAGGTTAATTAATGCTACTTATTCTAAGACCCAAAATTACCTGCTCAGCCCAAGAAACCTCCCTGAGCACATCAAATAATCACAAACCAAGTCTGCCTTTCAGCTTTTCAATTGTTTGTTAGTGTGCACCAACACTCGCAGAATTTGTCTTGCAATTCCCTTGATTAACTGCAGAGAGACAAACAGGGAGCCTTGAACCAAGTAGGACAGAACCTTGCAGTTAAATGGTGTAATTATCCCATAGGTGGGATGTCCTATCAAGGATGCCCTATCCCCTATGTGGGATGTCCTATCAAGAATGTCCTCTCCCATATGTGGGATGCCCTATAAAGGATGTCCTATCCCCTAGGTGGGATGCCCTATCAAGGATGTCCTGTCCCCTATGTGGGATGCCCTATCAAGGATGTCCTATCCCACAGGTGGGATGCCCTATAAAGGATGCCCTATCCCCTAGGTGGGATGTCCCATAAAGATGTTGCAGCAAGAGCCTCTCAGAGTGTGCTCCTGGGCACACCCAAGCTCTGATCACCTCAACCTGCCCTAAATCAGAGCTTTTGGAATGAGCTTGGACTACAGGAGCTGGAGGAGCCCCTCTGAGGAGGACACAAGTCGTTTGTCACGCCAGGCTCACCCGTGGGTCGTGTTGCACAACTCTCCCGAGCGGTCCCACACTCGGCACTGATCACAGCCCCAAAGCCCTCAGGCGTTCTCCTCTGTTCACACAGTCCCAAATCAGGTTTTCCCTCCGCTCTGTCCCTCTCAGGGGTGGAGAAGTCGTGTCCCAAGGGAACAGCTGGGCTGCTGGGCAAAGCCTCCCTGGTGTGCAGGGGCAGGGGGGGCTCGCTGGGCACATCCCCCCTGAGGGCCCCAGGGCCCCCAGGGAGCTGCCAGCCCACGCCAGCCCCCGGGGGGTGGCACAGACCCTCCCTGGGGCACTTCGGGGCACCCTTGGGTGACCGGGTCTGGTTCCCATCAGTGAAATTCTCCTTCTTGGATGGCCTGATGCCTTTGGATTTGGTCACTTTGCAGCTCCTCCGGGCTCTTGGCAGAGGGAAAGAGGCCTCTTCCTTCTGCTCAGGACAACCACTCTCATTTTCTTTAGCTTTCAGGGGAGATTTAGATCCTCTGAACATTGTTTGGGAATTATTTGAAGGAACATCCACTCAGCCTTTGCTGCTTTAATTACAGATTCCTATTAAAAAGAAAAAATATATTATTACTTGCTAAGAGCAAGTGCTCAGTACCACACTCCAGCTTCTCCCAAATCCACATTTTTCCTGGACAAGGTGTTTAATAGTGGGGTGGGAAGGGAAATTTATCCCCAAAAACCTGCAGGGAAAGGACACAAGGGGCAGGGAGCAGAAAGAAAAACACAGAGCAATGAAAACCTGCATCATAAACGTGCACAGGAGTGGCTCAGGGTAAGGAGCCACAGGGCTGTGATGTCACTCTGTCAAACTGACATTAACATAAGATACGTGTATAAAATTATAAAATGCAAAAATCACAATCACACTGCGGCCGTTTTGCTCCAAGTGTTACAACAGATATCAGCAGCTTAATACTACTTTTAATAACACTAATTAGCAGCAGCAGAAAGAGCATACAAGTCTTAGAAAGAAATCAGCGGAAGAAACAACACTAGTAAAATGTATTTTTGAACTCCCGCTAGCTTTTGAATAGACACTTTAAAAGGTTACAGATTTTTGCAGTTAGTTTCTTTAGCTAATGATGTACAACTCAACACCGTGACTCTGAAACTCCGCTTCTGCGAACACTTTTAGAATCAAAATTACCGAAATCGATCCGCTTTACAACGTCTGGGCAACCTTTTTCTTTCTTATTTCCCCTTTTTCTGCTCTCAGGCCCAGCGGAGGCCGATGGCTCCAGGCACAGCCACCGGCCGAGGAGGGGAAGCTCCCAGCGCGGGGCTCCCCGCTCGGTACCGGCCGTGGGCACTCGCACCCCGGGCACACCCGGCACCCCTCGGTAATCTCGGTACCCCCGGTATCCCCCCGGTATCCCCCCGGTATCCCCCCGGTATCCCGAGCGCTCCCGCCCCTGCCCGGCCGCCCTCACCTGGGCCCGCGCCCGGCCCGCCTCACGCTTTCAAACCGCGCCACGCCCCCGCGGATCCCTCCGCGCCCCCGCCCCTTCGCCCATCCCCGGCGCCCGCCGCAGCCACCCCGGTCCCCGCAGCACCGCAGGCAGGGCGGGTCGTGGGGGCGGCCCCTCAGCGCTGCTCTGCCCCGGGGGTCCGCGGGGCTTGGCGGGGACAGGAGGGACTCTTTGACGCGGCGGAGAGATCGCGGGCCGTTGGGCCGCAGCACCGCTTTGGTGCGGGAGGAAAAAATAAAATGATTAAATGAATTCATTCAACGGCCCGCGCGCACGTGACGGGCGACAACCAATCACAGAGGGCTTATGCAAATACGGGCTCTTCTTCTGGTCGCGATTGGCTGCCGCCCCGGCTTTGCCCCGCCTCCTCACTGCCCATTGGGCAGATGCGCGGCGCAGCGCGGCGCTGATTGGCAGTGAGGCCTGCCCGTCAGCGGCCGCCCCTTCCGGGTGTCGGCGCGGCGGCGGGCGCAGCATGAGGCGGGTGACGCTGTTCGTCAACGGCAGCGCCCGCAACGGGAAGGTGAGGCCGGGCCGGGCCGGGCCCTGCCCGGGACACCGCCGGGCCCCCTCCCTGCCCCTGCTGGGGGTCGCCGCAGGCGGGCATTTGTCGCGGGTGGAGGCGCTGGGAGCCTTTAGGGAGTCGCGTCCGGCTGCTGTGTCAGGCTGTGGGATGAGGGCTCTGGGGGTTGGACCCTGCGGGAGGGTACGCTGGGAATAACCGCGTTTGGTGGATTAAAACCTCGCTAAAATCGCGTCAAGGCTGGAAATAGGGACTTTTAGGCCCAAGCAGAGCTTGTCCGGCAGAGGAAAAGGCCCCGGGATGCAGTTCCACTGTGATCTGGGTGTTGCCATCCACATTCCGAGTGGAGACGGCGATGTGTTTGTGCTTTAACGTGTATTAATTATTAATTCCATTAATCCTGCCCATGATCCCGCTCTTTCCAGGCGGGCCTGGAGTGCAGGGGTTCATGTGACAGCATTGCAGCCTTGCAGCTGTGGTGAATTGTGTTGTGAGCCCGATTTTCCATCCACAGCCTGGCTGCAGACAGCTCACATCCCTTCCTTTAATCCTTGCGAAGTACATTTGGGAGAGCCTTGGGGCAGAGCAAGTAGCAATGTTTTAGAGAAATAAATGATATTCCTGCAGCACCAGCGTTTGTTCCCTCCCTGCTGTTGCAGTGAGCTTTGGTGGGAGCTGTGAAGCCCCCTGGTTTTGTGTTCCAACACCAAAGCTGGTCTTTTCCCTTCTTTCCTGCCCCAGATCCACACGGATTTTGCTCCTGACAGCCCTGCTACATCTGAAGTGGCAGATCTTTAGGTTTGTTTTGATTCACAGCCTCCTCTGCTCTCTCCTGCCCCAGGTCGTGGCTGTGTATGGGACTCTCTCGGATTTGCTCTCTGTGGCCAGCAACAAGCTTGGGATAAAAGCCACCAGCGTGTACAACGGCAAAGGGGGGCTCATTGATGATATTGCTTTGATTAGGTGAGGAGCAGCCAGGAAAAGGCAAATCAGGCCTGGGGATTAAGAGACTAACCTGTTAATCCTGCTTAAGCCATAGCCAGTGCTTGCCCAAAACCAGATGTGATCATTCCAGCCAGGATGCCCAAAGGTCCTTTCATGTCTTTTTAACTTCAAACCATTGATTGATTCAGAGCTTGATACACAGGTTGCCTGGGTTTGTTTTGATTCACAGCCTCCTCTGCTCTCTCCTGCCCCAGGTCGTGGCTGTGTATGGGACTCTCTCGGATTTGCTCTCTGTGGCCAGCAGCAAGCTTGGGATAAAAGCCACCAGCGTGTACAACGGCAAAGGGGGGCTCATTGATGATATTGCTTTGATTAGGTGAGGAGCAGCCAGGAAAAGGCAAATCAGGCCTGGGGATTAAGAGACTAACCTGTTAATCCTGCTTAAGCCATAGCCAGTGCTTGCCCAAAACCAGATGTGATCATTCCAGCCAGGATGCCCAAAGGTCCTTTCATGTCTTTTTAACTTCAAACCATTGATTGATTCAGAGCTTGATACAAGCTGTGCTTGAGGCCTTTTCACCTCCTCCTGTGTTGTTTCCAGGGCAGTGTTTGTGCCATGAAATCCCCACTGTTTCAGTCAGCCCTGGAATGGGGGGTTTTTATAAAGGAGACAAATTCTGGCAGTACTTTGGCTTCCCACAATAGTCCCAGACTGGGGAGAAAAGCAGCTGTTTTGTAAGAATTAATTGGTTACACAAATGGTCCCTACCTGGCTGCTGCAGGTAAAATCTCTGAAGTCAGTCCATTCCAGTCCAGTAGAACCTGCAAAATACAGATAAAAACCAGATACAGAACTTCCAGCTAATGGCCACTGGTCATAATTTACCTGAAAGAATCAGGAGAGGTTCCACTGTCAATTAGAAGAACAATAAATTATGATTAACCTTCTTTTTCTCTTCCCTCTGCCCCTTGTGTCTCAGGGATGATGATGTTTTGTTTGTCTGCGAAGGGGAGCCCTTCATTGGTGAGTCTGTCATTCTTATCACTAACCTTTTATTTAATACAGTTTGTTTTGCTTTCATATAAACCTAAGATTTCATTTTGTGGTGTTTTCAGAAGATGTCTCTTTGTAATTAAAGAATATTAACAAATTTTCCAGTAATTTCTTTCTTTGTTCTCTGCAGATCCTCAGACTGATGGGAGAGCTCAGGAGGAGCTGACAGGGTCCCACACAGACTGGCTGACTCTCAATGTGGGAGGCAGATATTTCACCACCACCCGGTAAAAATGGTCTTCAAAAACTTCCAAAGCTTCATTTCAATAAAGCAAAATACCTTAAAAAGTAACTTACTGTGAAGCAGGAGGTCTTTGACCCCTGAAGCTTTCTCTGGATTTTGTATTTGGCACCACAGTTTTGCAAGAAATTAATTCTTAAACATTTACAGATGAAGGAAAGGTAAATCTGGGCTGCTTTTGTTTTCTAGGAGCACTTTGGTTAACAAAGAACCTGACAGTATGTTGGCACACATGTTCAAAGACAAAGGTGAGTGTGTTGAGATGAACTTTATTATTTTTAAGTAATAAATGAGCAAAGTAGGCAAAAGTCACTGTCAAGCTGAGGCTCTTGTTCATAAAGTAAAATATCCAAAGTATGTTGAAGTACCAGAGCAGGACAGGGAATTATTTTGTAAAACTTTATTTCTCTCTGTTTATCATCTCACCACCTAATGTTGATCATCTGCCTCACAAGCTGCAAGTACAGCTCCCATCCTTTGTGAGTGGTTTGGGTCCTTGGTTTGTTTATTTGATTTGAGGTTTTCATCTCGTTGCATCTTCCCCAGTTTTGTCAGCAGAGCCAATGAGCAAACTGCACGAGGCAGCCTTGGGGAGACAGTCAGACTAGAATTTCAGTGCTGCTTTTATCCTAGCCAGGATTCTTTTGTGTGTGGTAAAAATTCAGTTATTCAGAACAGGAACAAGTTCATTTGAAGCTGATTTTTCCCCCCACTCCTCTTTTCCTTCCTTCTCTCTCCGAACCGCCCTTCCAAGTGGAATGTTTGCTATTCCAGTCCCCTTTGGTAATAAAAAACTCTGAAAACTGAAGCAAATGCTCTTCTATTACTACATCAAAAGTAATTTTATATATATATATGTTGTGGAAACAGATGCTTGGGGGAATAAGCAAGATCCTAGAGGAGCTTTCCTCATTGACCGCAGTCCCGAGTATTTTGAGCCCATTTTGAACTATTTGCGTCACGGACAGCTCATTGTAAATGATGGCATTAATTTGCTAGGTAGGTATTGCCTGTCTGACATCTCCTGCATTACTCCTCCTTGGAATTAAAGCTTTGCCCGTGGTGAAGCCAGGGGGAGCTTTGTGTGCTCATCCTCGTGGTTGGGAGTTTTCCTTTGGTGGATTTATTCTCAGCAGTGCAGCTCCGTGTGCTTGCTTTAATGAGGCTAGGCTGGTTATTTCTCTTTGGAGCATTAAAAATCCATACTGGATTAATATCTGGAATTCTGGAGTTGATCTCTTTAACCTAATGCTGGTGTTGGAAATGTGTCTGAGTTATGTTTTTCCTTTTAGCTGCAAGCAAACCTTTTCTCTCTCCCCAGTTACATCCAGTAGAATGTGTGTGTGTGCTCCAGTAAGGGGAGAGCAGGGTGCAGCAATTCCCTGGAATAACCAGCACTGCTTTGTTTGTAGGGGTTCTGGAAGAAGCCAGGTTTTTTGGGATCGACTCCCTCATTGAACACCTGGAAGTTGCTATTAAGGTACCTTGCTGTTTGTAAGCCCTGATGCACTGCTGCTGGGCCAGGGGGTGTGTGGCTCAGTGCTGTCCCTGTCCCTGTCCCCAGAACTCCCAGCCGGCTGAGGATCACTCTCCTCTCTCAGCCAGGGGGTGTGTGGCTCAGTGCTGTCCCTTTCCCTGTCCCTGTCCCCAGAACTCCCAGCCGGCTGAGGATCACTCTCCTCTCTCAGCCAGGGGGTGTGTGGCTCAGTGCTGTCCCTGTCCCTGTCCCCAGAACTCCCAGCCGGCTGAGGATCACTCTCCTCTCTCAGCCAGGGAACATGTGGCTCAGTGCTGTCCCTGTCCCTGTCCCCAGAACTCCCAGCCGGCTGAGGATCACTCTCCCATCTCTCGGAAGGAGTTCGTGCGCTTCCTGCTGGCCACGCCCACCAAGTCCGAGCTGCGCTGCCAGGTGAGGGAGCTCAGCCTTTGTCTCCAAAAAACTCCGGGAATTGCTTCCTAACACCTGATCCACCCCTGCCCTCTTACAGTTTAAAACCACAGCCTGTTTTAGGGAAATACCCAAATCTTGAGAGCTTTGCATTTATTTACATTTCATGGTGTTATGTAACAGAGTAATGATCTTGTGAGTGTATGTTTGTCTAGGACCGTGGAATGGTTGGGTTGAAGGGACCTTAAGGATAATCTTGTTCCAATCTGCCATGGGCAGGGAACCTTCCCCTGTCCCAGGCTGCTCAGCCTGGCCTTGGATGCTTCCAGGGATGGGGCAGCCTCAGCTGCTCTGGGAATTCCATCCCAGCCCCTCCCCACCCTCACAGGGAGGAATTCCTTCCCAATATCCCATCTAAACCTGATCTCCAAATCCATTGCCCCTTGTCCTGGCGTTCTCTGTCCATATAAAAAGTATCTGCCATCTTTTTATCAGCCCCTGCAGGTACTGGAAGTGTTTCAGTACATCTGTTTATCTGCATGGATTTATATACACAACTACCCAGACGTGTTCCTTTTAATTCTTTTGCATCCAGACCTCCCCCTTCCCTTCTGTGACCGTTTTGGGGGTGTTCACTGGCTTTTGCAGGGTCTGAATTTCAGTGGAGCTGACCTTTCCCGCCTGGATCTTCGCTACATCAACTTCAAGATGGCCAATCTGAGCCGCTGCAACCTGGCCCATGCCAACCTGTGCTGTGCCAACCTGGAGAGAGCTGACCTCTCTGGATCCGTGCTGGATGTAAGCGTGCTGCACCCTGGGCAGCCTGGGCTGCCTGCACTTGTCTCAAAAAGCAGGAATTGGAACAAAAAAAATCAAGTTTCCCAAGTTGTTTTTTTTTACTGTCCCACTTCCAGTGCTGCCACACTCCGTCACAGTAACAGGGGGTTGTGATTTGGGGGGTGCAGTTGCAATGCAGAATTTAAATCTGTCTAATGCTGGTTTCTGGTATTTATCTTGACACCCTCGTGACTCACATCCTGTCTCTGCCAGTGTGCAAACCTGCAGGGGGTGAAGATGTTGTGTTCCAACGCAGAGGGAGCATCCCTGAAAGGCTGCAACTTTGAAGATCCATCAGGCCTTAAAGCTAATTTGGAAGGTAAGTTTTTGCCTGTTAATTATTCCCTGGAATCAGCCCTGTGCCTGTACATTTATGTGGCAAAAGCTCAGCTGTGTTTGTGCAGTCCATGGGAAGAGCCCACAACTCTGGGCTGGTTCTGCCAAATAATCACTGAATTCCCAGTTCTGCCTTGGCTTCTCCCAGCTCTTGGGAAGCAGCTCCTGGAGCTGCTGCATTTCTGGGTGTGTTGCAGGGGCCAACCTGAAGGGTGTGGACATGGAGGGCAGTCAGATGACCGGGATTAACCTCCGGGTGGCCACGCTGAAAAACGCCAAACTCAAGAACTGCAACCTGCGAGGAGCCACGCTGGCAGGCACTGACCTGGAGGTGAGATAGCATCATTTCCTGGACACAAATGGAAATATAAATATATGGATGTGGGCAGAAAGATGGGAATTTGGGGGGTTGCTGGCTTTTCTCCTGCTGCAAAGTTACATGGAGCTAAGGGGAGTTAAACTTTTGAACAGAGTTCTGTCTTTATTCAGTTAACATTATTTTCCCTTTCCCCTTCAGAATTGTGATCTGTCAGGTTGTGACCTACAAGAAGCAAATTTGAGGGGATCTAACGTGAAAGGAGCCATCTTTGAGGAGATGCTGACACCCCTGCACATGTCCCAGAGTGTCAGATAGGGGCCAGGACACGCTGAAGAGGAAGGAATCCAAACATTCATCGTGACTTGCTTCACTCCTCCCCTTCCTGAGTTAAAGTCATGGTTGTTAGCCACCTTACATTTGCAGTAGTGCCTAGGTAAACTCTTTTTGATCACTTTTGGGGAGGGAATTTTTGTTTTCAGAGGTACCAGCAGAGTTTGTACCTCTGTGAGCAGAGTGAGGAAGTGAGCTGGTGCTGGAATCAGAGAATGTGGCTGGTTTGGGGGGGAAAGGTTCAATGGTTTCATTGTTTAGCATTGCCTCACTTTGGAATGCATTTTAATATATAAAGCACAATATATGCAATTCTATTTATTAAATCTGTAGCTGCAATATGAATAGAAAATGTTACTCCTGTACAGTAGCAACCAAGTTGAGGTTTACAGGTGTATTTGCAGTCTGGATCCATGCCAGGGGTGGCTCAGTGTCCCAGGGGCTGCTCAGGTCTCTGCTGGGGTGGAAGCTGATGGGAACATCCCTGCTCAGAAATTGGATATCTTTAATTAATCCTCTCCAAATGAGTGTGGAGGTGCACTGTCAGTCACAGCTGGTGACAAAAATCCTGCTTTCACATGTCCTGACCACTGCAGGCTGGAGTTCCTGCAGTGTTCTCACCCTTGGTGGTGAATTCAATGCAGAGAGGAAAGTACAGAGCTGGCACCAAAGCAGAGAGGCAGAGGGGCCCCAGCTCGTGCTCTGCCCTCCCCTCATGACCTCAGCAGGTGAATCTTCCCCTGTTTCCCCTCCATGTACTATGCAAAGACTCCCTGAAGGCTCCCTGGGCATCGTCCTTTTCCCAGCTGGGTCTTCCTCTTCTGTTTGGCTGCTTCAGGTGGCTGTAAAGCATCCTGGGCCAGGTGCCCTCCGTGCCCTCCCACACCTGCAGTGCCTGTGCAGGGACAGCTGGAGCTGCTTGTGTGGGGAGCTGTGCAGGGCAGAGGCCTCAGCAGCCCTGATGTGGGTGAGGAGCTGCTTCCCTGTAGGATCCACAGAGTTCTCAGCTCACACCACCTTTATTTTACACACAATCAAAAAGCACATGAAGAAACTATACCAAAAAAAAGAAAGAAGGTGCATCAAGAACTTACCTCAGATGCTTAAACCACCCCAAAGTTAAAACTAACCTTGAATTTAAGGAAATCAAGCTGTTACTGTAGAAATACAAAGGAGGAATAAGAACCAGTGGATCCCAGCTGAGGCCCACGGGAGCTGGAGTTCCACAGTTCTTCAGGGGGTTGTCTCTCCCTTGCAGTGCAATTTCTGTCGTCTTGTCTCAGTTGTTGTTACAAAAATGCTGCTTTGCCACCAGTCTGGGAGGATCAGAGATGGTTGAGGGTCAGCAAAGGATGTGTTTGGGGGGAACTGCAGGATTCTCCCTCCTTTCCAAGTTCCTTTGACTCAGGCAAGTCACTGAGTGACTGAGTGAACTTTCAAGGCTCAAAATCCCAGAGCCACGAGGTTCAGAATTGGGATTATTTCCTGCAGATCCCTCTGGATCAAGCTCTAGGACAACACTATATCCTTGGAGAAATGATCTGTAGATTCCAGGGAACTATTACAGTGGGATTTTGGAGTCCTTTCTCACACCTCATAGCTTTCAGTGGGAATGTTGTGTCTGTTGCAGTAGAAGATTCCTAGGGCTAGAGAAACAAATGAATTATTTTTCTTTATCATATTTTGTAGCTGGCAGAAGTAAACTATTGTATGGAAAAATATATATATATATATCTATATTTTCATAATCACTGTGTATAAAATCTCTGAACTTTCACTGAAGCACTATGGAATAATCACAGCATGTGGCACCATCATTCACAGCTGGATTTTAGGTACCTCTTTTGCCAGGACAGAGCTGTGTAAAGAGCCCTGTGCAGAATTTGCAGGTTCCAGCTAATTTAAGTTGCATTAATAAAAAGTGTGAAAGAAAAAAGTGGCTTGGTTGTCTTCATTTTAATTTAAAAACCCAAATCTTACCTGGTTTGTGTGAGAAGAGCAAGAGTTTTTTAGTTTTAAGTATAAAATACCTGTTGGAAAAACAACTGTGCTTGTGGGGGTTCTGAGCCATTCATTGGGAGAATTTGCCTGGGATTGGTTTTGGTTTGTCATTCCCCTCCAAGACTTCTCAGCCTTTTCGTCCCCACCCTTCATATTTGCTTACTAAAATAGTTGGAGGCAGAATAGTCAGAGAATCATGGAATATCCTGAGCTGGAAGGGACCCAAGGGTCACAAAAGTGCAATTGCTGTGGCTGCAGCAGAAAGCTGTGGAGAACAAGCTGTTCCCAGCAGCTCAGGGCAGGCTCTCAGAGCCAGGGTCCGTGTGTGAGCGAGCTGCACTGACTGGGCTGAGCTCTACGTGTCCCACTGCTTTCACCTTTAAATGAGCTCATTCTTGCAAGGCTCACCAGGGAAGGAAGGAGGTTCCCAGCACAGGAAAGTCCCTGGTGCCTCCAGGTGCCCAGCAGAGGAGCAGGAGCCTTTCTGCTCTGAACCCAGCTGGAGCAGTGAGCCAGAGCTCGGGGCTGGGAGGAGCCCTGGCAGCAAGAGTGACTGCCAAGAGTCACCAAAGCCTCCCTCAATTAGGGACTTCTTAAATTACTTTAATCCATTAAAGTTCCACCGGACGTTCAGGTGGCACAGAGCAGTGCACAGCAAGGCAGAGGAGCGGGCAAGTGGGGAAAATACAATTCCTGCACTCAAAAATAGGGAATTGAACTCCTGCATCCAAATAAATCCTTATAAACCCGCAGTGCACAAACTCTCAAGATTGAAAAACAGGGACTCATGGAATGGTTTGGGTTGGAAGAGGCCTTAAGGATCATTTCCATCAATTCCATCCCCAACACCTTCCCCTGTCCCAGGCTGCTCCCAGCCCTGCCCAGCCTGGCCTTGGGCACTGCCAGGGCTCCAGGGGCAGCCACAGCTGCTCTGGGAACTCCATCCCAGCCCCTCCCTGCCCTCACAGAGAGGAATTTGTTCTAATATAAGCCCAAATATATTTCTTCCTGACCTAAACCTTCTCTGTTGTCAGTTTAAACCCATTCCCCCTTGTCCCTGTCAGTCCAGGCCCTTCTAAAAAGGATTTGGGGATCCAGAGACTCCCCTGTGCCCCCAAAGCACATTTACAATCATCACTCCAGCCCATCCAGTTTAATCCCACCTGGCATTTACAGAGCAAACACCAAGGCACCTGAAGTTAAATATTCAGGAGGAGGATATCAAAGTGCTCTGGGCACTTGTGCAACCACAGGCTCCTGTTTGAGCACTGAAGGGTTGTTTCCTTCATGCCTGATACAAATGAAGATGGGCATGAGGTGTTGCATAGATTCCCCATCCCTGGCAGTGTCCCTGGCCAGGCTGGGTGGGGCTTGGAGCACCCTGGGACAGGGGAAGGTGTCTCTGCCCATGGCAGGGGTGGAAATAGATGAATTAAAGGTATTAAAGGTCTTTTCCAACCCAAAACATTCCAGGATTCTTAAAGACTGAGCTCAATTCCTCACCCATTTCACACCTTCAACAAATTCAGACTCACCCAAGAACTTTCACTGAAGGAACCAGAACTGACTGACAGGAAAGCTCCTGCATTTCCCAGCAGGATCATCTGGATCCCAAAGTGGGATTTACAACCTCGCAAAAGCAAAGCTGTTACTTTTATGGGTTTTAGAGAAAAGAGCTGAATTTAATTGCTGCACCGGGGTGTCCCAATTATGGGCTTTACTTGTGAGCATGACAGCCACTGTAACAGTACCACCAAAATTGCAGCCTGGGAGGGAGAGGTGGAAGAAGTCTCCTGCTGGGAACGGGGTGGCACTGGGGTCCTTGGGTATAAAAAGTGAGCTGAGAGCACATTTACAGACATTTTCCAGAGGAGAAGAGCTGGACTTACTCCACAACCTCTCAGGTAATGTGCTGGAACAACATCCCACGTTCCCTTTTTATTTATCCAGCGCTTACAGATGCTCCTATTAAAAAAAATAGAAGAGACTGCAAAGGGCAGGTTTTAAGGAGCAGGGACATCAGAGCAGAAACCAGCTGAACACATCTGCCAAACACCAGCAGGGAATGCAACCTTTGAGGTCCACACATGCTGGAACTCAGAAATCCTAATTTAGATCTTCATCCAAATTTTTCAGATGTCCAGTCTCTTTCAAGTGAGCTGATCCACACTTTGAGAGGCTGCAAACCCAGCTGGGGCTCCTGCCCAGGAGGTGCAGATCAGAACTGGAGCAGGCACAGGGTGGGATTTTTGGAGCTGGAATTCCATCACCCTCGGGAATCCCTCCCAGCTCAGCACATTCCATAATTCTGTGACCCAGAAATCCTCGTTTTCCCCGCTCTGCACGGTACAAATGGAGCTGCGATGCCTTTCTGACCAGCCAGGTGGTTTTTTTGTCTCCCCCAGGATGGAGCAGCCCAGGAGGATGGTGGCCAGTGTCCTGCTGTGTGTGCTGGCCGTGGGGCTGTGCCTGGCCCAGCACTGGTCCTTCGGGCTCCAGCCAGGGGGCAAGAGGAGCGCCCAGGTCCTGCTGGGACCGTTCCAGGAGGTGGGTCCTGCCCTGGGAAACAACCCTGGCCTGCAAAAATGCAGCCAAAAAGGTGGCAAAGGCTCCCCTCTGCACCTGTCTGTCCCCCAGACACCCCCAGATCTGGGGACAAACACGTTGGTTGAAGCAGGATTTGGAAAATAAGGGGCGAGGTGACATTTGTCAGCCTGGCACAAAGAACAGCACATTGCAGCTGGCAGAAGTAAAACTATTGTGTGGAGGAAAAAAAAATAAATTCATAATTACTGTGTGTAAAATCTCTCTGAACTTTCACTGGAGCATTGTGGAATAATTTGGGCAGCCAGCTCCAAGGGAGAGATGGGGCTCTGAGGTCCAGGTTAAATCTGATTTCATCCTTTCCCTAAATTCCAGCATTCTGATGTCTTATTTTATGACAATTCCTCCACTTCCCTTAGCATTTTGGCAATTTGCATGTGGTGGATGCTCAGCAATGAAATGACAAAACACATGTGGAAGGTTGTGTCCAGCAGTGGTTTTCCCCTCTTTTCCCATCAATATTTAATGTGAGTTCCTCCTCATTTCAGCATCCTGGGGCTCGTGAGGAAAAGGTGAATTTCAGGAGTGTGGTGGAACACTCCACTACACAAATTCAGTTGTGGAGTTTCACCTCCATCTGTGAGTGGGGTAGAGCTGCTTTGGGCAGAAAAATCTGCCTTCTCCCTTCCTGAGGGTTGTGTCACTTCCTTGTGTCACTTTCCCAATCCAGATTCCAAACGAAATGGAAAAATTAGAGGAGGTGCAGCAGAGTGAGTGCCCAGGCTCGCAGCAGAACCCCAGGATCAGGGATCTGAAGGAAGCCATGGTGAGTAATGTGCTTCTTCTGTCATCGCTATGGGAAGATTTAAAGAAGATACATGAGGGGAGGGAAAAAAGGTGGTGCAGGAGGAAGAGGGAGTAAAGTTTAGCTCACATGAGGAAATACTGGCTCTGCCCTTCTTGTGAATCCCAGGATGGTTTGGGCTGGAAGGGACCTAAAATCCCCCTGTCCCAGGGGCAGGACACCTCCCACTGGACCAAAATTACCTGCAGGGGTCCCTCACTGTCACCTGCACCCTTCCCAGGACAGGGATCCATCATGCCAAAGCTCCCCTTGTAGCAGGACATTTCCTGCCCGAGTTAACCCAGATCAAGCCCAGTCCTCCTGGGCTCCCTGCAAAGCCACAGCACCCTGGCTGCTGTCCCAGGGCTGTCCCTTTCCCTGTCCCAGGGCTGTCCCTGTCCCTGTCCCAGGGCTGTCCCTGTCCCTGTCCCTGTCCCTGTCCCTGTCCCAGTCCCTGTCCATCCCTGTCCCTGTCCTGTCCCAGCTGCTGCAGGCACAGCCAGATGGCAGCTGCTGCTCCCAGGGTGCCCAGGCTGGGAACTGCATTTCCAGGAGCTGCTGCACAGCACAGAGCTCACAGCTGGGTGCACCGACACACACGGAGCCTTCTCAGGCAAAAATGGGCTTTGTCACCAACCCTGCAACGCCCTGATGGGGCCAGATGGGCACCACCTCCTGGGACATCCCTGGCCATCCCAAAAGCTCCATCTCTACTGCAAAGCTGAAGCCAAACCCCAAAGCTCGGAGTGCTTGAAAGCCCCTCCAGGCTCACTGAGGAGCCAGGGCTCATAAAATCAGGAACACTAATGCAGAGCCTGCATTCCACTGGATTCCATGCAGAAACTACCTAGATAAATAGGATTTTAGCTCATCTTGAATCCTATTTGTACTGAACGTGTACTGGAACTGTGGCCCATGACTTCCAGCAGCATTGCCTGCACAGTGAAGAGCCAGCAGCAGTAATTTACTATAGTTAAGTATTTTTTTTACTGCAAGAGATGATGTTATGCAGGAAAACACACCAGAATAATTACCAGGATATTTGAAATGAGTCCTTTCTGGCTCGCTGAGGGAAACCTGGCCTGTCTTGGCAGAGCTGAAAGGAGCAAACCCCAGCAGATCCTGAGGTTTGCTCAGGAACTTCTCATTTCTTGCTGCTTAATAACACTGAAAACAAATGAGCTTTGCCCACACCCAGCTTTTCCAACCCAACACATTCCTGGTGGGGCTAAAGGAATATCAAACAGGGGAAAAAAGGGGAGTGGCTGGAAATGTTGCACCCCGTGGAAAAACTCCAATTATCATCATTTCCTGGGGAAGGTGGGAGGGAGCACAAAATTCCCCCTCCCTGAGGCACTTCAGGGAACAAAGCCCCAGACATTCACCCAGCTCATCTCCATCCAAACCACCCCAGGGCATCACCTCGGTGGTATTTTAGCACCTGAAAATTCCATCCTCAAAGTCATTTCTGCTCTTTCAACCTGGAAATTGGTGTGTGGTTACAGGAGAGGCTGGTGGAGGGAGAAGGCAGAAGAAAGAAGGTTTAAAAATTTCCAGAGTGAAATGGAGCCGCAGAGCCAGAGTGAGGTTTCAAAATTGTGTTAAAAGACATTCCTCCTCAAATGGTCTTTGCTTGGATGAATATGTGAATAAATATTCTGAAATTGCATTAAAACAGTGGAAAATTGTTGTGTAGATGATTGGATTTATGCAGAAGAGAACACTTCCCAGTCCAGAGTGGGAGCAGCAGAGAGGGGTCTGCTTTGAGTCCTGCAGGGACAATTTGGATGTGACAACTTTTGTTTCACATATCCAGACAAAACCTTGGCCTCATCTCACTCCCCTCTGGGTAAAACAGCAAGGAAACTTTGATAAAAGAATAAATTCCCTTTTGGAATTAACTCCCCTGTCCACCAGCGGTCCATGGAAGAAAGACTTTTACTGCTCTTTTTTCTGGTTCAGTCATAAAAACTACATTTATTTTAAAAATGTATTTACAAACTTTACAACAATCATTGCATTTAAAAAACCCACAAAAATGTGTACACCTTACTTTACAGATTTAGTGAATCATGTGGCGTTCACCCAGAGAGCTGCTGCTCTCTCCACAGCCATTTTAAAGCTGTATTTTTTACTGATTCAGTTGCAAAAGACTGAAAAAACCCCAAACATTGTACTTGCAGTCTGCAAAAGTGGATTTGCACCGAAACCACCAATCCAGGATCCCAGAACACACAAAAACTCCTTCCACAACACCCAAATCCTCCTGAATTCACAACGAATATGTCCCAGGGTTTAGAGTGATTTAACCTTTGTAATACCACAGTGAGAAAAAATATTCAAATGTACATTGGGGTGAACTTTGGAGCTGCTGAGGCACCTCCACCTCTGCCTAAAAATACAAACCAGCACCACATGGACCTGAAAAATGGATTTACACCTCCTTTGAGTAACCTCTGTAGTGCCCAAACTGTCCTCAAAGTGCTTTAATTAATGTTCAGAAAGAAAAATCAGGTGAACCTGGTGCTTTTGAACAGCCACAAAATCACATTATTTATTTTTCCTCCCTGCTGTAGTCTTTGGAAAAGCTTACCCTGGTCCACCACAGGATTTGGTCTGCAACATTAAAATTAGGTTTTTAATTAAAATAAAATTAATCCAAAGAAGGTAGGAGAAGCAGGTCAGGAATGTTTTCACTATAAAAAAAATTAGTTAAATTACAGATTTAAAGTTATTATTTCCATTTACAATGGTAAAAATAAATAAGGAGAGGAAAATCTGGGGCGTTGTCACTGCAAGTGCAACTCAGTGTGAGTGTGGAGCAAAGCCTGGGCTGGGAGCAGGGACTTGATGGGATGCAGGAGCCAAAACGAGCCCTGCATATCCATCCTGGAGCTCTGTGCCACTGCAGATGACAGAGCTCTCCCTGGAATCTGTGTCCTTTCCTAATCCAGTAATCCACTGAAAGCAAAGCTGCTGCTCCCCTCTGCCCCTGATGTGGATTAGAGCCTGCCATATTTTTAAAGGAATTTATCACAGCACGACAAATTTTAATTAAAAGCTCCAGAAAACAAGTGTTGAGCACATTTCTCCAAAGGAGAAAAACTGAAATCCTCGAAGACTTGAAATTTCACAGCAGCTTTGAAGAGCTTGGCTCTGAAACAGGATCAGGTTTTGTCTCCTCTGCAGACTGGATGTTTGAACTCTGAGATTTTATTCAAAACCATGAATTGGCAGAAACTGCTGGCATTTGTGGTGTGCAGAGATCATCATTATGGACTGTCCTATTCCCACTTTAAACCCTCCAGCTGAAAACACATCAGAGGCACTTCCTAAAGCACCCAGTCCACCTGAAGAGATGATTCTTGTGTAAAAAAACAAGGTAGAGACACCTTAAATTGCCTCTGAAAATGAAATCTCACAACTCAAGTCAGGCAGGTACCCAAGCAAAGAGCAAACACTTCAAAAATCATGGTTCTGGTGAGATTTCTCCCAAGAGTGGGCACTTAAATCCACTTACTGAAAATCAGTTGAATGCCCTGTTCCTCCTCACACAATTGCCTTTAAAAATCTGACACTTGGATTATTTTTTCCCCCAAAGCCCTGAATCATTTGGGCACAGAACAGAAATTTCATCCTGCACCTCTGAGCCAGAGATGCCAGCTTTTATCAGCCAGGTAAGAGAACTGGAGCCCAGTCTGGGGACACTGCCAGAAGGAGCAGGAGTGGGACAAGTTCACAAACTCTAGAACATAAATATTGTTGAGAAAGGAAAAACCCAAAGAACCAAATTTAGTGCCCTTTCTGGCAAATTTGCCAGTGAAAATGCCCAAAATGCCCTGGCAAGGGAAAACTTGCTCTGAACTGTTCAGTGTCAGCTGCTCCTCTCCTCCCAGTTCAGAGGGTGCCCATCCCAGTGCCCATCCCAGTGCCCACCTGGGCAGGCTCAGGGAGGGAGAGGAGAAGCCTGAACTCGTGAGCAGCAAACCCAGGTGAGGTTTAAGGTGAGAGGAGCAATTTCAAGGCAGAGCAGAGCTGAAGGTGGCAGCTGCACTGCCCAAGGCAGGGAAGGAAGGGAGGGATAATTCACCACCGACTTGCCAAAGATTCTGCTCAAAATCCTGGTCTGTAACTGCAAAATGCAGCCAGAGCCAAATCTCCCAGAGTAAAAGAGCAGAAAGCTGGTTAAAGATCAGCTGAAAAACTCTTCCCAGGGTCAGACCTCCTCCTGTGAGTGTTTTCTGCATGGAGTTTTCCTTCTACAGGAAAAAACCTGGATGCAAAAGGTATGTACATATGTTAATGCTGCTAAGGCAGAACAAAAAGGCTGGAAAAGGGGACCCCAAAGTCACTTAGAACCAGAACACCCAAACCTGACAGCTCAGTCTGCTTGCCCACACCAGGGAAACCATTCCTGGGACCCCTCCTCTGCTCCTGCTGATCCACTCAAGGAGTTAAACCCAGCCTGCCTGAAAAGCAGCCAGGACTGAGGGCAGAGGCAGCTGCAGAGTGGGGAAAGGCACTGCAGTAACAGTAGGTGCTGTTAAGATGCACTGCAGACACCTCAGACCACATCCTGTTGTTGTGCCTGAAGCAGAACTCCCAGCCCAGACAAAAAGCTGCTTTTGAAGGGAACTTTGAGAGGATCCCGGGGGGTGTGAGCACAGCAGGGAGGCAGCGGGAGGGAGAGGGCACAGAAAATGGAAAGGCAAGAAAAGCCAGCGGCTTTCAAGTCAAGCAGTGTCTGTGTCCAGGAACACAAGGAGGAGCTGACATGTCCCACAATGCCCCAGAGAGGGGCAAAGCTGGCCAGGGTGTCCAGAAGAGTCCCAAGATCTCCCCTGAGAAGCAGCAGCCCGGAGACAGCTGGAAGTGCAAGCAGCAGTCAGGCTGGGGGTGGATGGGATGTGACTGCAGTGCCACCTCCAGAGCAGCTCCAAGCTGGAGCTGATGGCAATCTGGGATGACTCTGGGATGAGGACAATGTGCTTTCAGAGCTGGGCAGGCAGCACAGCAACTCCTGCAGTCGCACCAGTGTCAAAAGAATTGGGAAGGACAAAAGAAAATGGCAACTTCAGTCTGAGCAAAGCTCTCCTGTGGGTGCTTTTTGTTGGGTTTGGTTTTCCCTGAGAAAGCCTATGCTGAGGAAACTTTTCATCAGGTTTAACAAACTTTGGTTTTTCAGTAAGGTCAGAAACCCACTTCAGTCAGGGGAGCACAATAATGGCCCGTGAACCCCCAGCCAACAATAACTGTATTTCCTGCTGTGAGCAACACCCTCAGCAGGGTTTTAGTGGCTCTTCCCAACTTCTACAAGATAATCAGAAGCTAAATGACAGAATGATCAAACAAAATTGTTTCCTGAAAGAGAAAGCAAAATCTTCATCAACATTGATGATAAATAAACAGGCCACAAGCTGCTTATGGAACTGGTACCATTAAAGCCCTGGTACCAGTGCAGGTGGTGCCAGTCCAGCCCTGGTACCAGTGCAGGTGGTGCCAGGCCAGCCCTGGTACCAGTGCAGGTGGTGCCAGGCCAGCCCTGGTGTCAGTCAGGGGGTACCAGTCCAGCTCTGGCCAAAGTGCAGCTTCTGTCATCTCCAACATTCACAGGAGGGATTTTTTCCACCCCATTAAAAAGCACAAAATGAGATCTTGTACCAGACCAAGCACAAGCTGGGCAGAGACCCTGCCCCAGGAAACTCCAGTGGCCTGCAGTGACACCACCAGTGAGATCAGCCAGGGTTCCCAGTTACACTGGGATTGCAGCAGTGACAAACTTGGGACAGAGAGGACCAGGAGAGAGAAGAATTCCAGCAGGGAGACGTCGGGATTCGTGTGCCAGCACTGCTCAGGCAAACACAGGGGAGGGAGTCCAGCCCCAGCCACGTCTCCTTTGTGGCCTTTCCCAGGAAAGGTGGGAAGGTATTTCCCAGGGGAAGAGGTGCAGGGGAGATCCCAGGCTGGCTGGAAAGGCAGCAGCCAGGGGTGGCTGAGAGCCCAGCCCTCAGGGCAGCCCCGGCTCCGAGGACACCACGCTGGATTTCCTGGCCTTGGGGGGTGGAGGGGGAGGCTTGGCCTCACGCCTGCTGGGCAGCGGTGGAGCAACCTGAGGAGATGGAAACACAAAATCAAACCATTGCTGGACAGTGGAGAACGCTGTGCTTCACCAGTGAGAAACCCAAAAAGTGGTGATGGAGCAAACCCTGGAGCTCAGCCTCAGCTCCACGTGACAGGGCCAAACAAGGACAGGTCCCCAGGAGACAGCAGAAGCTGAAATGTTTTACTTGCTAGAGCAGGCCTAGGATAGACTTTAATTGCTTCTGCAGCCAGCTTCAGCATTTATCCCTCCTTTTGGTGACCAGTAAAATGGCAACAAACCCATTTCCTTCCAGGTTTCAAAATTCAGCTTTTTCTCCTGCTGGCTGGCTGAACTGCCCCAAAAGGATGTAAAATGTGTTCAAAGCAGAATGCAAACTTTTACACCCTAACATGGGAGCAAGGGCAGCTGTAATTAAACAAGCCACATCCTGCCTGCCTGCAGAGGGGCTCGGAGGGCGTTTCTGCTCTTGCAGAAATCTGCACTGAGGGGGATTCATGTTGTCTCTGCCTGTTTTAAGGGGCATCCTGTAAATAAATGAGATGGGAAAGGCCAGGAGAGTGAGAAGCTTGTGTGGTTCATCATTTCCCAGCCAAAACTCAACATTTCAGGATTGTTTTAACCAAAGGAAGACAGACCCAACTTTGCAACAGCAAACTAACAAAACCCTTCAGAAAACCCTCCCCAATCTCCCTTTACAGCCTGTGAATCCTTTCCCTCTGGCTGCCAGCCAGGGGGACACTGCAGGCCAGGACATGGCAGTAATTAGTTTCCTTACAAGACTCAAGGGAAGGAGGCTCTTTTATTAATCCTCCTGATCAGTGACTCCACAGCTTCCCTGGAGCTGGGGTCTCTGCTGGGCACAGCAGCCACGCTCACTTCCAGCCAAATGAAGGGCAAAGAAGAAAAACTTTCCCCTGATCCCATATTTCAAGGCTTTATTCCAGTGTCACAACAGAATTCAGTGTTTTCTTGTCTTCCCATGCTGCTAAAGCAGTTAAGTGTGATCCCTCTTCAAATTCTTTTTGGACAAAGCCCAGTTTATGTCACTCAGGTGCTCCCAAATCCTCTCTGTAAACCAGACTGGGGAAGACATCCCTCCCTCCCAATTGCAAAATGTAACTCCTGACAGGTTTTGGGAACCCAGCACCATCCCTCTCTCAGTCACAAAAAGATCCTTTCTTGCTTCCCACTGCTCAGGAATTAGTCTGGCACCACCAGCACCTTCATTTCAGGGGCAGGTGAAACGATTCTGACACAGTATTTGCATGTGAGGGATTCCAAACAGCCTGGAGACACCAAGGTGAGAGAAACATCAGTGGTACAGCACTGACAAAGGGCCAGCTTGATATTCCTACAAGAAAATCACTCCATGGAATGGAGACAAAGGGCAGGATTTAAATACAGGCTTTTAAAAGTCACTGATGGCTTGAAAAATCAGTTTCTGCCTAGCTGAAGCTTAGAAGGAGACACTGGAGACCTCTGAAAATTGTGATTTCCCCCCACACTTCTTTTCAGCCCAAATTATTGCAGTATTTTAGGCTGATCATGTTTTTGAAACTTTTGCTGCTGCTGTGTTTTCCATATCTCTTCCCACCCCCACACACTTTTTTCCTGACCAAGGACAACACAACTCCCACTTGGAAAAAAAATAAATAAAGGCCCTGCACTCCACTGCCTTCTCCTGAAGCAAAAACCCTTTTTTCCTTCTTTTGTGGTTCAGGGAGTGAAGCAGTGAAATGATGAGACAGGTTTCAAGCAGCACCACCCTAAGATCAGCTTGGACAGTTCCACGGGTGCCTCCTGCTCCAAAGCTGCTCTCCAAAGAGCTGCCAGCCCCCATTTCCTCACCTCCACCGAGTTCCTGGGGGTGCTGCTCTCGTAGGGTTTGCTTTTGGGTGGAGGGGGGGGTGGTGTGGCCAATCCATCAGCCTGAAGGGAGGGGGAGCCTGCAAACAACAACAATCAGGGGAGAAAGAACAAAAAACAAGGGAAAAAATAAGAACAAATAAGAATAATAATAAAAAAAGAACAAATAAGAAAGGTGAGAAGGGGAAATGGGGTTGCACACAGATTTTAAGGCAGGTTCATGAAATGCCCTGTGGTTTCCATCTGTGAGCAGCTCCCTGCCCCAGCACAGCCTGCCTGCATGTGCTGGGTCCCAGCTCAGTCCCCCAATGCCCTGAGCAGTTTCCCCTTCCCCCAAGGGCTCTGAGCTGCCCCAGGGAGCAGCAAACTGCTTCCATCAGCGCTTCTGGAGCGCTCCTGGGGCTGCCCCTCAGAACCCACTTTGATTTTAACTCCAGCTGATGAGGAGATAAAACCCAAACTTCAGAGGATTCCAGCAATTAAACCCTTGCTAAGGAGAAGAGAGAGGTTTTCCATTCCTTTCACAGATTTTTCTTCACAGAGTTCCTGAATTTGTTTCTGGTTGTCTCCCCAACTCATCCCTTGCCCTGGAAGGATTTTTTTTTGTTTTCATCCTCTCAGGACAATTTCATGCCAGTTTAGATCATTATCTGCCCTGGATTCTTACTTGATACCCACGTAAGGACAGCCAGGTCCTACCCAGGAACTTCTGTTCCTCTCAAAAAAGAGCAGCAGACTGGGAAATGCAGCAGCCAGCCAGTTCTAGGGGTGGAACTGCCCAGGGATTTTTATTTTTACCTTAGGCCACATTTAAATGTGCTGCACAATTAACTACAGAACTTCCTGAATATACAAGAAAGGGCTTTTTTCCCCTCTTCTTTTCCAAGATCAGATTATTGTGCTCTTTTACATTCACCATATTTTTGAAACCTTTGAAATTATTCCTTTTGTTAATTCTTGAAAAGAAATTCCATCTCCTTCAGGTGGAACATTTACAGCTGCATGTCCAAGCAGCAGAGCAAGCTCTCCTACAACTCTCTGCCATGTGATGGGAGTTACTGTTCATTAATTAACAGACCCCTCAGGGCTTGCATTGATAATTTAGGCACAGAGCTGATCACAAACACCGTGGGATCCCTGCAGTGCCCTCCTGGGATCCATGGAGATGCTGCTGCAGACCTGGCTGTGATTCACAGCCAGCTACACTGACTGCACGTGCTGATTGCCCCAGGGTTTCATAAACCTGCCCAAAATTCAGTCATGAGACAGGTGGGGTAGGAAGGACCTTAAATCCCATCCAGTGCCAGCCCTGCCATGGCAGGGACCCCTCCCACTGTCCCAGGCTGCTCCAGCCTGGCCTTGGGCACTGCCAGGGATCCAGGGGTAGCCACAGCTGCTCTGGGAATTCCATCCTCCCCACTCTCCCAGAGAGGCATTTCTCCCCAAAAATCCCATCTAACCCTGCCCTCTGGCAGTTTAAAACTGTTCCCCTGTGTCCCATCTCTCCACACTCCTGTGAAAAGTCCCTCCCCATCCTTCTTGTCCAGGTCAATACAGGAGAAAACAAGAAAGGAACTGAGAAACCCAGAAACTGTTCCCTGGAATTCCTGTTTTGCACTGCCTCAACAAGTGATGTGCAAGCCACAGATCTGATCTTTGATACCACAGCCAAATTCTGTTATCTGACAAAAATGATAACCCCTGTCTTCCTGGGAAACTGAGGCAGAGGGCACCTGGAATGCACTGGGGACAGTGGGGCTCCAGAGGCAGCAGCTGGGGCCCAGCTCCCACTGCTTGTGCTCCAAACCCCTGTCTGTAACATGGAACAGCAACACTGACCTCCAGTACATTTTTAAATGTATTTCCATGGAGTAAATATTGATTTTTGAGACTTCCAAGAGCCCCGAGCTGCGACTGAACTCGGAGCAGCTCCTCCCTCCCAGCGTGCTCCCCCAGCAAGCACAGAGCCACCCCCACCCCATCCCAGCACAGGACTTACTCTGGGTCCGGGGGGTCTTGGGGGTGATGGGGGGAGGGCTGCAGGTGCACTGCTGCAGCGAGGAGCCCGGCAGCAGGGTCAGCCTGTTGTCCCCCAGCTGCAGACTCTTGGGCCTCTGTGCCTTCCCTGCCGTGCCCTGCTGGAAAGAGACACAGCTGAGCACAGCCAGGTAAATCAGAGCTGTCCGTGACACAAACACAGGCACAGAGAGGTGAGCACAGCCAGGTAAATCAGAGCTGTCCGTGACACAAACACAGGCACAGAGAGGTGAGCACAGCCAGGTAAATCAGAGCTGTCCGTGACACAAACACAGGCACAGAGAGGTGAGCACAGCCAGGTAAATCAGAGCTGTCCGTGACACAAACACAGGCACAGAGAGGTGAGCACAGCCAGGTAAATCAGAGCTGTCCGTGACACAAACACAGGCACAGAGAGGTGAGCACAGCCAGGTAAATCAGAGCTGTCCGTGACACAAACACAGGCACAGAGAGGTGAGCACAGCCAGGTAAATCAGAGCTGTCCGTGACACAAACACAGGCACAGAGAGGTGAGCACAGCCAGGTAAATCAGAGCTGTCCGTGACACAAACACAGGCACAGAGAGGTGAGCACAGCCAGGTAAATCAGAGCTGTCCGTGACACAAACACAGGCACAGAGAGGTGAGCACAGCCAGGTAAATCAGAGCTGTCCGTGACACAAACACAGGCACAGAGAGGTGAGCACAGCCAGGTAAATCAGAGCTGTCCGTGACACAAACACAGGCACAGAGAGGTGAGCACAGCCAGGTAAATCAGAGCTGTCCGTGACACAAACACAGGCACAGAGAGGTGAGCACAGCCAGGTAAATCAGAGCTGTCCGTGACACAAACACAGGCACAGAGAGGTGAGCACAGCCAGGTAAATCAGAGCTGTCCGTGACACAAACACAGGCACAGAGAGGTGAGCACAGCCAGGTAAATCAGAGCTGTCCGTGACACAAACACAGGCACAGAGAGGTGAGCACAGCCAGGTAAATCAGAGCTGTCCGTGACACAAACACAGGCACAGAGAGGTGAGCACAGCCAGGTAAATCAGAGCTGTCCGTGACACAAACACAGGCACAGAGAGGTGAGCACAGCCAGGTAAATCAGAGCTGTCCGTGACACAAACACAGGCACAGAGAGGTGAGCACAGCCAGGTAAATCAGAGCTGTCCGTGACACAAACACAGGCACAGAGAGGTGAGCACAGCCAGGTAAATCAGAGCTGTCCGTGACACAAACACAGGCACAGAGAGGTGAGCACAGCCAGGTAAATCAGAGCTGTCCGTGACACAAACACAGGCACAGAGAGGTGAGCACAGCCAGGTAAATCAGAGCTGTCCGTGACACAAACACAGGCACAGAGAGGTGAGCACAGCCAGGTAAATCAGAGCTGTCCGTGACACAAACACAGGCACAGAGAGGTGAGCACAGCCAGGTAAATCAGAGCTGTCCGTGACACAAACACAGGCACAGAGAGGTGAGCACAGCCAGGTAAATCAGAGCTGTCCGTGACACAAACACAGGCACAGAGAGGTGAGCACAGCCAGGTAAATCAGAGCTGTCCGTGACACAAACACAGGCACAGAGAGGTGAGCACAGCCAGGTAAATCAGAGCTGTCCGTGACACAAACACAGGCACAGAGAGGTGAGCACAGCCAGGTAAATCAGAGCTGTCCGTGACACAAACACAGGCACAGAGAGGTGAGCACAGCCAGGTAAATCAGAGCTGTCCGTGACACAAACACAGGCACAGAGAGGTGAGCACAGCCAGGTAAATCAGAGCTGTCCGTGACACAAACACAGGCACAGAGAGGTGAGCACAGCCAGGTAAATCAGAGCTGTCCGTGACACAAACACAGGCACAGAGAGGTGAGCACAGCCAGGTAAATCAGAGCTGTCCGTGACACAAACACAGGCACAGAGAGGTGAGCACAGCCAGGTAAATCAGAGCTGTCCGTGACACAAACACAGGCACAGAGAGGTGAGCACAGCCAGGTAAATCAGAGCTGTCCGTGACACAAACACAGGCACAGAGAGGTGAGCACAGCCAGGTAAATCAGAGCTGTCCGTGACACAAACACAGGCACAGAGAGGTGAGCACAGCCAGGTAAATCAGAGCTGTCCGTGACACAAACACAGGCACAGAGAGGTGAGCACAGCCAGGTAAATCAGAGCTGTCCGTGACACAAACACAGGCACAGAGAGGTGAGCACAGCCAGGTAAATCAGAGCTGTCCGTGACACAAACACAGGCACAGAGAGGTGAGCACAGCCAGGTAAATCAGAGCTGTCCGTGACACAAACACAGGCACAGAGAGGTGAGCACAGCCAGGTAAATCAGAGCTGTCCGTGACACAAACACAGGCACAGAGAGGTGAGCACAGCCAGGTAAATCAGAGCTGTCCGTGACACAAACACAGGCACAGAGAGGTGAGCACAGCCAGGTAAATCAGAGCTGTCCGTGACACAAACACAGGCACAGAGAGGTGAGCACAGCCAGGTAAATCAGAGCTGTCCGTGACACAAACACAGGCACAGAGAGGTGAGCACAGCCAGGTAAATCAGAGCTGTCCGTGACACAAACACAGGCACAGAGAGGTGAGCACAGCCAGGTAAATCAGAGCTGTCAGTGACACAAACACAGGCACAGAGAGGAGAACAGCCAGGTAAATCAGAGCTGTCAGTGACACAAACACAGGCACAGAGAGCTGAGCACAGCCAGGTAAATCAGAGCTGTCAGGGACACAAACACAGGCACAGAGAGCTGAGCACAGCCAGGTAAATCAGAGCTGTCAGTGTCACAAACACAGGCACAGAGAGGAGAACAGGACTGAAAGCCCTGCCCTGCCCTGCCCGTGCCAAAGGCACCCTGTGTGCTGCCAGGACACAGCCCAGCTTCCCCTGGCACTTCCTGAGCAGCACTAAACTGCTTTTAATGGTATTATTAATGTATTAGTTAATTGTATTCATTAGAGTTTGAAGATGTCACACTGAAAAATTGCTGCAGTTCTGTGAATAACTTTGGAGGGGAGTGAAGGTGAACTCTTTCCAAGAAATAAAGATAAATAAAATTTTGGGTGCTGGTCAGGGCTGCTGGTATCCTCCAGCTCCTGAGGGCTGTGAAATGAGTCTATTTTAGGATATACAGAGCAAATCCTCTGCATTTGGGAATTTGCATCCAGCTCCTTCCAGTGTCACATCCTTTGTGCTCTTCATTCAAACCACGAGGCCACCTCAGTGTGGCCCCAAAAGTCCAGTGCAGGAATGCTGGGGTCCTTTCCAATCTTAGTTCATTCCTTCCCAGAGCAGGCTGTCACCCAAACACGTAATTAAACTCTTTTTCAGAGGTCAGTTCTCCATCCCTGAGCAGCTCAGCATTTCTCTCTGCACAGAAGGGACCACACACTGGCAGATGTAGCACACAAAGCCCAGGCAGTCTTTGCTTCCCTCTGGCTTTCCAGCTCCCAAACAGCTCAGTCCAGAGCCCAGAAAATCCCTCTGTGCTCCTCCTGCTCTCACTGGGGAGCCATGGAGCAGAGCAGCCATAAAAGCAGCTTTTCCTGAGGCAGGACTGGAACCCTGGATGGCTCCTTCTCTTCAGAGATATTGGGGATTTCATCCAACAGCAATTCCAGAGGCAGAGGGCCAGGCCTCCTGCAGCTCCAACATCCACAACCCCAGTTTTCCTGGGCTGGAAATGCTGTCAGTACCAGTGACAGCACCCTGGCACCACAGATCTCCTTCTTAGAAACACTCTGCAGCCTCCAAGTGCTGGCAGCATCCCTCAGAGCTGATGAGAACTCCTGAAAATGGATCAGCATCACCTGTCCCTGCCAGATTCAGCTGGGACTTGGGAGAGGAAAGGGAAACACAGGGATTTGTGTTTCTCCTTACTGTGAAAAATGAGCCTGAGCTAAATCAGATCAGCAACCAAACTCAGTGAGATGAGGAGCACTGAAATACCCAGGTGCCCAATTCTCTCAGCTTGAGGGTGTAGCACAGTTTTTACATCCATCAGGACAATGTCCCTGGGTGTAACACAATTTTTGTATCCATCAGGACAATGTCCAAGGGTGCAACACAATTTTTGTGTCCATCAGGACAGTATTTCAAGGTGTAACACAGTTTTTATTTCCATCAGGACATTATCCCAGGATGTAACACAGTTTTTACATCCATCAAGACAATATCACAGGAGGTAACACAGTTTTTACATCCTTCAGGACAATGTCCCAGGGTGCAACACAATTTTTGTATCCATCAGGACAATGTCCAAGGGTGCAACACAATTTTCGTGTCCATCAGGACAATATTTCAAGGTGTAACACAGTTTTTACATCCATCAGGACATCATCCCAGGGTGTGACACAGTTTTTACCTCCATCAGGACAACACCCCAAGGTTGTACAGCTCTGCCTGTGGCTGAAACTCATCCCTGTGCTTTGGGTGATGACTCTGAGTGCAACACAATTTTTGTGTCCATCAGGACAATATTTCAAGGCGTAACACAGTTTTTATTTCCATCAGGACATTATCCCAGGATGTAACACAGTTTTTACATCCATCAAGACAATATCACAGGAGGTAACACAGTTTTTACATCCTTCAGGACAATGTCCCAGGGTGCAACACAATTTTTGTATCCATCAGGACAATGTCCAAGGGTGCAACACAATTTTTGTGTCCATCAGGACAATATTTCAAGGCGTAACACAGTTTTTATTTCCATCAGGACATTATCCCAGGAGGTAACACAGCTTTTACATCCATCAGGACAATGTCCAAGGGTGCAACAGAGTTTTTATGTCCATCAGGACAATATTTCAAGGTGTAACACAGTTTTTACATCCATCGTGTCCATCAGGACAATATTTCAAGGTGTAACACAGTTTTTACATCCATCAGGACATCATCCCAGGGTGTAACAGTTTTTTTACATCCATCAGGACAATGTCCCAGGGTGTAACACAGTTTTTACATCCATCAGGACATCATCCCAGGGTGTGACACAGTTTTTACCTCCATCAGGACAACACCCCAAGGTTGTACAGCTCTGCCTGTGGCTGAAACTCATCCCTGTGCTTTGGGTGATCACTCTGAACCCCACTGAGAGCCCTAAAGCCCAACAGCCTCTGCTCTGCTCCTCATCCCAGCTCTCTGGGGGGCACATCCTGGTTTATTCCTCATCAGTGCCCACCCTGCCCTGCAGCAGAGCACAGCCTGGCAGAGCCAGGTTCCCAGAGCTGGTGACTGAACCACCAGGGCACCTTCTCCCAACTCCCTGATCCATCCAAGGGCTCTGCAGCTCACATTTGATTTGTGAGTGCTGCTGCCCGAGAGCAGCTCAACATCTGGCTGGGCAGCTGGATCTGAGCAGGGGCTCCTTGCTCCAACCAAAACAGGGCTCTGCCCTTGTGCTGAGAGCAGCCCAGGGCTCAGCTCTGCTCAGCACCTCCAGCCAGGCTGCAGTGGGCCTGTGACAGGAATTTTCCAAATTAAAAAGAGAGAATTACTCAGATGACGGAGGCTTGTTGGTATTTGAACCCCTCCCACTGTTTAATGAGGCTCCCCCTGACCAGCATGGCTGAGAGCAGTGGAAACACTCAGCTCCTGCTGTGGTTTTATTATTGCTGTCATTATTCTGATGGGTTTCTTACCATTTTGGAAGTCAGTTCTGTTTCTGGCTCCTTCTCCACAATAACCTGAGACTTGCTAATGCTCCACTCCTTCCTCTTGAGTTTGCTAATCCTGTTGTCACCCTCGTCTTTCACAGGCAGCTCCTCAGCTCTGGAAGAGGTGGATATTCTCCTCTCCAAGAGAGGCTCCAGGGTGGATCTGTGGCCCAAAAGAGTGAGAAAAACATGAAACACGAGTCCATCAGACATGGAAAGGGCTGTTTGTTAAAAAGCTGTGATCTCAGTTTGTGTAAGGGATTGCTGTGAAAAAAGTGAGGCAGGACCATGGATTTTCCAGTGGGATTTGTGCTGTTACCCCTGCAATTCTGAGTATGATGTGGTTTTTGTCCAAGGTAAAGTGTGATCTGCTTGCAGAGGGAGCAGAGCTGCACATCATGCTCAGCCATGAGTCTCACTGCCCTGGAGACTAAAATCACCTGAACTCTGGTTATGCCAGCTGTAAAGCCAATGGACAGACAAGTGACATCAGGGGATGTCCCCAGGTAACACTCCTGGGGACATGCCATGGATGCAGTGCAAACAGGGTGAAACAAGAGCTGTGTGCCTTATTCCCCTCCTGGCTGACCAAAATAAACCCCTTTGTGGTGCCTCACACCCCTGTCTTCCTGGGAAACTGAGGCAGTGGGTGCCTGGAATGCACTGGGGACAGTGGGGCTCCAGAGGCAGCAGCTGGGGCCCAGCTCCCACTGCTTGTGCTCCAAACCCCTGTCTGTAACATGGAACAGCAACACTGACCTCCAGAAACATTTCAAATGTATTTCCATGGAGGAAATCTTGATGTTCAGAGCACCTGATTGTGGATGTGACAGTTTAGTCAGAGAGAGAAAGCCAGATAAACTTTTCCAGGAATTGTTCTGGGGAGTTTTGAGAAGGCTGAGAGAAAGAACTAAAACAATCTTGCAGTTGGTGCTTTGAACAGCTGTTTTCTCATTAGATGTTTACCAAAGGTGTCTTCTTAATGAGCCAGTGGTGTGAGGGGTGTTGATGGAATGACCAATCGGGCCCACCTGCATCAGGAGGGTGTGTGAAAGAATGGGCTTCTAATAAACTGGAATTAGCCTTGTGAAGAGACCCAGGGCCCGTGTGTGCCTCACTCCTGGTCCTGCCCCAGCGGTGACACCTGATCCTGCCTACAGCACCTCCCCCTGCTGCCAACCACTGCCAACCACTGCCAGTCACTGCCAGTCACTGCAAATCACTGCCAATCAGTGACAGTCACTGCCAACCACTGCCAGTCACTGCAAATCACTGCCAGCCACTGCCAATCATTGCCAACCACTGCCAGTCAGTGCCAGTCACTGTCAACCACTGCCAACCACTGCCAATCACTGCCAACCACTGCCAATCATTGCCAGTCAGTGCCAACTACTGCCAACCACTGCAAATCACTGCCAATCATTGCCAGTCAGTGACAGTCACTGCCAACCACTGCCAGTCACTGCAAATCACTGCCAGTCACTGCCAATCATTGCCAACCACTGCCAGTCAGTGCCAGCCACTGTCAATCACTGCCAACCACTGTCAATCACTGCCAACCACTGCTAACCACTGCCAGCCACTGCCAATCGTTGCCAGTCAGTGACAGTCAGTGTCAGTCATGGTCAATCACTGCCAGTCACTTTCAGCCACTGCCAGTCATTGTCAATCACTGCCAACCATTGCCAGTCATGGTCAATCACTGCAAATCACTGCCAAGCACTGCCCATCCCTGCCAACCATTGTCAATCCCTGCCAGTCACTGACCCGTCGGAGCCGGGCCTGGAGGAAGCGCTGTCGGACGAGGTGGACGAGGTGGAGGCCACCGAGGAGGCCACGGAGGTGACCGAGAGCCTCCTGAGGGTGGAGGACATGATGTAGGGCAGCACCACCGAGCCCGACCTGCTCGGCTTCCTGTCGGTCAGCGCCGGGGGCTGCGGGAGGGAGGGAACGGCGTCAGCAGGGAGGGAATGGTGGGAGCAAGGAGGGAATGGCGGGAGCAAGGAGGGAAACATGGGAGCCAGGAGGGAATGGTGGGAGCAAGGAGGGAACCGCGGGAGCAAGGAGGGAACAGGCGGGAGCAAGGAGGGAACAAGGAGGGAACGGTGGGAGCAAGGAGGGAACGGCGGGAGCAAGGAGGGAACGGCGGGAGCAAGGAGGGAACGGCGGGAGCAAGGAGGGAACAAGGAGGGAACGGTGGGAGCAAGGAGGGAACGGCGGGAGCAAGGAGGGAACAGCATCAGCAAGGAGGGAACCGCGGGAGCAAGGAGGGAACACTGAACCCCCTGAGCAAGGAGGGAACAGTGAGAGCAAGGAGGGAATGGTGTGAGCAAGGAGGGAACACCAAACACCATGAGCAAGGAGAGAACCGCATGAGCAAGGAGGGAACCGCGGGAGCCAGGAGGGAACACTGAACACCCTGAGCAAGGAGGGAACTGCCTGAGCATGGAGGGAACACCTTGAGCAAGGAGGGAACTGCCTGAGCATGGAGGGAACACCGTGAGCAAGCAGCAGATCTGCAGCAAGCCTGGCTCTGCACAGGGCCTGGGCAGGCTGGGCCCAGGGCCTGACCCCAGGGCCACCAGGGTTACAACACCATGGGCCCTGCACAACCCCCAGGCTGGGGACAGAGCTGCTGGACACAGAAGGACCTGGGGGGACAGATGGACGCAGCTGGACATGAGCCCAGGTGTGCCCATGTGCCAAAAAGGCCAAAGGCACCTGGGTGGGATCAGGAGCAGTGACCAGCAGGACCAGGGCAGGCACTGTCCCCTTGCAGCTGGGGAGGCCACACCTGGAGTGCTGTGTCCAGTTCTGGGTCCCCCAGTTCAGGAAGGACATGGAGGGGCTGGGGGGAATCCAGGGCAGGGAACAGAGCTGGGGAAGGGGCTGGAGCCCCAGGAGCTGGGAAAGGGGCTCAGCCTGGAGAAAAGGAGCTCAGGGGGGCCCTTGTGGCTCTGCACAGCTCCTGCCAGGAGGGGACAGCCGGGGGGTCGGGCTGTGCTCAGGGAACAGGGACAGGAGCAGAGGGAACAGCTCAGGCTGGGCCAGGGCAGGCTCAGGGTGGGCACAGCAGGAATTTCTGCATGGAAAGGGGGCTCAGGCCTGGATGGGGCACTCAGAGCTCTGGGCTGGGGACAGGGTGGGCACTGGGCACAGCTGGGACTCCATGGTCTCAAAGCTCTTTCCCAACCCTGATGATTCTGGGATTCTGCGGCACCACCTCACACCCACCCACGGGTGGAAAAGGGGGAGTTGGGTTCCTCAGGGGCAAAACATGGAAAAAGCAGGTTCCCTCACCAGAGTTATGACCCCGTACTGCTTCTCCACCTTCCTCCTGAGCTCCCTGAAGCAGGCTGTGAGCCTCTCGTGCAGGGGCTTCAGCTGCTCCGTCAGCTTCTCGCCATGGATCCGGATCCCCTCTGCCAGGAGGGGCATCTGAGGGAGGGTGGGAGGAAGGAGCAGAATGAGCTGCAGGAGCACAAACCAGCCCTCCTGCTCCCCAGGGTGCGAGTTCAACAGCTCAGATAAAAATAAAGGATGCAAATCAAAGAGTTTTGTGTTTGCAGAGGGGAAAATAAACAGTGACACAGCAAGGGAGCTGAGCTGCTGCCCCAGAGCTGCTGCCAGTGAGGGAACTCCAGGTGCTGAACAAACACCAACAATTTCCCCAGGCCAGGCTGGATGGGATTTGGAGCAGCCTGGGATGGTGGGAGGTGTCCCTTCCATGGCAGGGGTGGCACTGGATGGGCTTTAAGGTCCCTTCCCACCCAAACCAGGATTCCAGGATTCCCTCTTCCCTCCCCCAGTGCCTCCAGCTCATTCCCAATTCCATACCTGGATAGCAATTTGTTGCTTGAGCAGCTCAATTTTGTCTTGATCTTCAGGATGTTCTTGGAGATATTTCTCTGTGAAGAAGGCCTGGAAGCACAGAGAGAAGGTGACACAGGTGACACAGGTGACACGGGTGACACAGACCCTGCTTCCTTATTTTACTCTGAGGGGAAGATCCTTTAAAAGCAATTCACTGCCATTATTCCTCAGATTAAACCCCAATTTTGCTGGCACCAAGCTGAGGGAAAAAGAACCAGGGTTATTTGTTGGGAAAAGGGAACAAACCCCACTTTTTTATTTTAAAAAATCACAGTTTTTTTCCTAGTGAAACACATGGAAAAACAGTTACTGCATCAGAATGATTTCCTCAGTCCTGATTCCCTTCTCACAAACCAGCGCTGATTTGAATAACTGAGGTTCCATCACTTCTACTTCTCACTTAAATGTGAGTGGCAGACCCAAAACCTCAAGTTCTGACTTCAAAAAAGCCTCTTTATTTTCCAGCAGTCAGTGCCCCACAGCACACAAGCAAAGCAGCTCCTGCTGCAATTTCCTTATTTCAGCCCCTAAATCCCTCGTTTTCACCTGGGGCTGGTTACAAAGATTCAGTAGAAATAAAGACCATGCTGGGATTTGGGCTCCCAGCTTCCTTCAACAAAGCACCTTTAGTCTCCACTTCTCCTGAGCTCACCTTTAATCAGCACAATCTGGTCTTGGTTTGAAATTGAACGAACACAAATCCACTTTCCTGGACTGAAAACTTAAATTTGTGCCAATTCCCATGATGTATCCCATTAAAACAGATCCCAATTCCTGCTCAGAATAATTTTTTTTTTCCTGGATAAACCCCCTAATAAGTTTTTCATTTGTCCCTCTGAGCTATTTCAGCCTCTGTGTATATTTTTTTTTACTTCTGTAAGACTGGACTGTGGTACAAGTTTATAGGGCTGGGGGTTTGATCCTGAACAGGATGGAGGTCAGCCTGGGAAAAGGCTGCTGGGTTGGTCCCAGAGGATTTTCCTTGAAAGTGCTTCATTATTGCAAGAGGAAAGATGTTAAAAAACCCCAGCTTTGGGTTTTGGCTACCATGAAACAATTAAAACTCAGATTTTAGCCGCCCACAAAAGCCAAATGTTCTGCACTGATCTGCAGCTGAAATAGGAAAATATGAACCAGAAATGAGTAGTTCCAGATGTGGCTGCAGAGATTTTGTGTTTTCTAGTTTTAACTGCTTTCCCACTTCTGTAATTCTAAACTTGATGTCAAACTTAATTCATAAAATGGGAGGATTCAGGGCCAAATTCAGCCCTGGCAAAGCATCCAAACTCCTCTGGAATCAGCAGAGTGAGACTCCAGATCAATCAGCCCCTCTCCCAATTAATTGTGCACCTCATTTCATGGGGCTGCGACACAGCTGAGGAGAATTAAAAGTGTTTTACCACATTCCCCTGCTTTGTGGAAACCAGCAGTGCTGGGGATTTCATCATTAGGTGGAGGGAATCAACAGCTGAAATTAAACATCACAAAAAAGAACAACCTACACTGCTCAAGTGAAGTCAGCTGAGTAAACCTGTACAGGAAATGCTGCTTTTCCCCTGAATCATTTGCTCTGTCACAAGACTCCAAAGACACAGGGGCTGCTGGCAAGAGGAAGCCTCTCCTGCCTTCTCATTCCCTGTTACTGCAGGGGGAAAGGCCAGGTTTGGGCTTTTCTGTTACCTGGGCTGCCCGAGCCCCTCAGTGCCCCACAAGGCAGGAGCAGCTTCTCATCCCTCTGCAAAGGAGGCCCAGAAGAGCTGGGTCCTGCCCTGCGAGCACCAAAGGTTAGCACTTCCACCTTGCAGTCAGAGCAAACCTCTGCTCTGTCCTCTCCTCCTCCTGCCTGAGCCCTGCACAGAGCCCCAGACCTGTGGCAGCAGGAGATGGAACTGGACCTGCCAGCTCCTGCCAGCCTTGCACACCGCAGGGTCCAGGAGCAGCTGCAGCTCAGAGCCTGCACAGCTTTGGGCTGCAAGGGACTGCAGGGACAGGGAGCTCCAAGCCCTGTCCAGCCTGGCCTTGGGATCGAATTCCCTCCCAGGGAACAATTCCTGCCCAATCTCCCATCCATCCCTGACCTCTGCCAGTGGAAGCCATTCCCTGTGTGCTGTCCCTCCATCCTTTGTCCCCAGTCCCTCTCCAGGGAATTCTGGAATGATTTGTGTTGGAAGGGACCTTAAAAGTCACCCAGTGCCAGCCCTGCCATGGCAGGGACATCTCCCACTGTCCCAGGGGGCTCCAGCCTGGCCTTGGGCACTGCCAGGGATCCAGGGGCAGCCCCAGCTGCTCTGGGAATTCCATCCCAGCCCCTCTCCTCTCCCAGCCAGGAATTCCTTCCCAACATCCCATCCCTGTGTGCTGTCCCTCCATCCTTGTCCCCAGTCCCTCTCCATCTCTCCCGGAGCCCCTTCAGGCCCTGCCAGGGCTCTGAGCTCTCCCTGGAGCTTCTCCTCTCCAGGTGGCCACCCCAGCTGTCCCCGCCCTGCAGAGGGGCTCCCTGGAGGGGCCAGGACCTTCTCATAGTTGGTGTAGCCCCCCATGACAGCGGGGTCCACGATGCCACTGAGCAGCATGGACAGGGGGTGCACGGGCAGGCTCCGGTCCCAGCCGTGCTGCTGGACAATGTTGGTGATCTTCTCATTGGTCAGCTCCATGGTTTCTATGGCATTCTCCAGGGGGCTGATCTCCTCCTGAGGGACAGAAGAAACAGAATGAATCTTCTTTAGAGTCACAGAATAAACCTTTCACACCTTCATGCAATTTTTAGGGAGAAATCCTTCTCTGTGAGGGGCAGGAGGGGCTGGGAAGGAATTCCCAGGGAGCTGTGGCTGCCCCTGGATCCCTGGGAGTGTCCAAGGCCAGGCTGGAGCACCCTGGGACACTGGAAGATGGCCCTGCCCATGGCAGAGGTGACACTGGATGATTTTAAGGTGGTCCCAACCCCAACCGTTCTGGGATTCCATGGTTCTGTGATTTGTTTCTCTCCGCTGAGAGAGAAATTAAATCATTTGCTTTATCTGTGCCACATCCAGCAGTGCAAGGACTGGCATTCCCAGGTGCTCAAGGCTTGGTCCATGAGGGATTGGAGAGGATGCAGCCCCCGTGCAGAACTCACCGTTGTGACCTGTTTGACCTCAAACCACTTGAGGATGCCTGGGAATGAATAAGCTGTGGTGTAGGTTGTCCTTTCTATCCACATGTTCTGGTCAGAGAAGGGAAAAAAGACATCTGAGGTGTAAGGAAAATACTGAACTCCTGTAACTGAACTCTCTCCTGCGTGGAATGAGGCTTCCAGAAGAAGCTGTGGAGCTCAGCCATGCCCACCTCCCTCAGGGGAGGGACCCCCATGCTGGGCTCACCCAGCACCACACTGCTGGTTCTGGTGGGGGCTGAATGCTCCAGCTCCAGCCGTGGAGCCCCCTGGCATCACCCCCAGCTTCAGGTGGAGCCTGCAATGCCCTTTGTGTCTCCTTTCTCATCCCCAACCTCTGCTCACAGGGAGAGGGAAAAGGTGACAGCTTGGTCAAAATGCCATCCACAAACCCAAAGGCAAAGGACTCACAGCAAATTCATTGTCTGGATCTTTCTCTCCTTTCCTGACAGGTCTGGAGTGAGTGAACTGCTGCACCTCGTTGGCTCTGTAGTAGCTGGGAAGAAGCAGAGTAAAAAGGTGATTTTCCTCACCTCCCATCCTCCTCACAAAAATGTTCAAGTGTTTCCTCACAGTTTGTGGGGAGGAATTTACACAATTTACACAAGACACAAAGGCACAGCACCTTGTGCCCAAGTTAGTGGGGAAAACACACACAAAATGTTGAGGGAGAAGAAAAATAAATTACTTTAAGATCTGTTCAGGAACAGGTTTATCTTTGTAATTAGGTGGCAGGTTCATCACAGGCTTCACAATGAAGCACTGCACATCTGAGCAGCTCTGGTTAAGGATGGAAAACTAGGAATCCTTTTGGGAAAACAGGAGAGGGAGACAAAAACCCTTCCTGTTTCCATTGTCAGGCTTTTCCACAAATCCCTGTGCTCTCATTAACTATTTTTCTTCAAACCTGACTAATTCACCACAAATCACAGGCATTATGTTGCACCTTGCAGTTTGTAGGCTCCTTGTGAATTAAAAACCCCAAAAGAAAAGGACTTTACAAATAATAATCCCAGAATGGCTTGGCTTGGAAAGGACCTTGAAATTCATCCTGTGAATGCCATGGACAGGGACACCCTCCACTGCCCCAGGGTGCTCCAGCCTGGCCTTGGGCACTTCCAGGTGCTGAAATTCCCTGAAAATGCTTGGGAATCCTCAGCACCACTGATTTCTACTTTGGGAGACAAGAAAAAAGGCAGCAAGGCTCTGCAGGAGGCTCTGTGGATGCGTGTGGCTCTTCTCTCACCCCACAGTTATTTATCAGAGGCTGCTGCTCCTTCCCTCCCACTTTTTAGATTCATGAAGCCAACTGAACAAAGGAATTGCTTCCACTCAGCTTTTGTACCTGTGAATAATGACAGGCATTGAAAAGATCCCAGGAATTGCATCCCCAAGCACAACATCTTTCCAAAATTCTGCTCTAAGGACTGTGCTGAGGCTTTACAGGAGCAAAACCCTGGCTGGAAAAGCACAGCTTAGCCAATCTGACCCATCAGGAGATGTGTCTGTGAATGCCCTGCCCTCTGAAGTGGCAGTGCTCCAGTGGGGGGTTCAGGCAGCCCCCACACATCCTTTAATTCACTGAGGCAGCTCTGAAGAGCATTCTGAGAGCCAAAGTCACCCTGGCTGCAGCGAGGAGCCAGCTGGCCCCCAAAGCACAGAGGCAGGGGAGCTGGGAGCCCTGCTGAGCCCCTGCACAGCCCCCTGTGCTCAGCTGCTCTGGGTGCAGGGAACCCTGAGGCTCAGCACAGCTCACCTGGCAGCCCCAGCACATCACCACCAAAAGAAGAACGAGGTATTCTGTCATAAAAGAGCAAAAAACTGCCTAAAGAAATAAAACAGAGCCTGAGGCAAAGGAGGTTCAAGGAGCCTGGAAGCAAAAGCAGCCCCAGGAGCAGCAAGGTCTGCCTAAGACAACAGAGATCAGGGCACTCCTCGTGTCAGGAGGTGTTTGTGGAGTGCAGGGAGATGCTGTCCCACATCCAAGCCCTGCAGCTGCTCCCCTCATCCCAGGGCTGTGCCAGAGCCCCGGAACCCAACACCCCCAAACCTTGGGGACGGTTCAGATCTGCCTCCAAACTCTGCAGCTCGGGCTCACCCGAGCCAGGAACATCACAACAAACACAAACAGATGCAAAGGAAGCAGCTGAAACAAAGCAGCAACAGAAGAGGCATTTTTGATACCAAGTTTGATCTTGAATGGATTTTAATTTCCTCTGTGGATTCAGAGCTTGGCAGGAGCATTGCTCAGGAAGCATCTGCTCTCACTGCCTGGGCTGGGCCTTTGTGCACAGGGTTGGAGGGCCAAAATGGACCTTCAGATTCCTCAGCCTGGCCTGCTGAGCACAGGCTGGAAGCCCAGGACTTGGCTCTCCTGGAGCCACTGGCAGCAATCTGGAGCATCTCCACTGGCTCCCACTCACAACTCAGAGGATCTTAAGCCTGGTGGGGAGCCTGGGACACAGCTTGGAGTCACACCAGCAAGGGGAAAAATAAGAATTAAAAAATAGTAAGGGCTCTGCATCCAACAACTTTTAGTGACTTAATCACTTCACACTTCTTACAAAGGGACTTCCAGGGAAAAAACACACAAACCCCAGCACTTCATAATGCCAAGGGACTGCAAGGAAGAAGGGAGTACCCTTCACTTTTCACAGCCTGCATTTCCCATCTTTCACCCAGAAATTCCCAGCTGGGTCCCACCATGGCCAGAGCAGCCAGCACCACCTGAGTGAGAACACAGGAAACCCTCCCTGGTCTGTTGCTCACCCTGACAGCAACTTGTTTAACTCTGACAGCCTCAAACAGCCTTTAAATCCACCCTTACAACCCTGGCTAGCCCCATTTTCATGCCCAGTGCCTGCCTCCACACCCCCCTGAAGCAATAATCCCTCACTGCCCATTGCTGCTGTTCACCAGGGAACAGGGAGCTCTGGGGTGTGCCAAGATGCCCCAAACCCAAAAGATACACTGTTTGGGGGAAGCCTTGATCTCCTCTGCTGGAGGGGCTGTGCTGGTCATCTTCTCAGCACTGGGGAACTGGGTCAGCAGCTTCAGGTTGAAATCCTCCCTCCGCTCGTACTCTTTGCCACGGTAGATGAAAATCTTATTCTGTGGGCAGGAGAAGAAAAAGGGAATTAAAATTCAACAAAGCAGTGGGACAGAGCTTCCCAAACCCCCCCGAGCTGGTTTATGGGAAGGGTTGACCAGCTGGACAGAAGAGGTGAGGGAAGGAATGAGGGCACAGCAACTCCTGGGAGCCAGGCCTGGCAAGGGGAACCTCAGATTTATCTAAAAAATCCATTGCTCCACAGAGAATCATCAAACAGAGCTGGAAAGGAGCTTTTAAAGGCCACCTGCAGTGAGCAGGGACACCCTCAAACAGGTGGGGCTGTCCACACAAACACAAACCAGAGCCATGGGCTGCTCACACCTCCCAGCACAGCAATCTCAGCCAGGGGCTGGTTTTTAGTACCAGAATAAATGTGCTGGGACATTCTTAACTCCAGGGACCTGCCTGCTGCCTGCCAGCCCAGGTGTGAGCTCCCTGAGGGACGGCCCTGGGCACAGGTGGGACTTTCCCCAGTGCCATTCCTGACCAGCAGCACCCGCAGTGCCAGCCCTGCCAGGTCTGGTCACACACCCAACACCAGACCACGGCCAAACATCTCCCACCTGGCAGTGCTTTCAGGAAGGGATGGATTCCAAAACGTGGCCTGGAGTTGAAATCCCTCCATGCCATCTCCTTTCACAGTTCTAACTTAACATTCTTCTCTTTTTTTAAGCTTGGCTTCCACTGAAGACCAGAGCTTCAAACAGCTCCAGTCTGAGAAGGTAAAATGGCCCTGAATTTTAAGTAAGAGGAATATTTTCAGCCTTGCTGGCCATGGATCTGAGTCATTCCTGTCCTCCACACAGATCCAGCAGTGCTCAGCAGATGGAATAAGAAGCACTTGAATTCTTCTGTGTGGGACAAACTCTCCCTGACCACTGGAATAATCTCTGTCCTGAAAATTTGGTTGATTGAGGCTGAAAAGCAATGGGATAAATAAAATTCTTCACAGGCTGAACAGTTTCTAACAGCCACAATCACATTTCAGAGGAAGCACAAATACAGAAAGTAAATTCTGCTTAAATCCATAGAAGAACTGATCAATCATCTAAAAATCCTCTTGTAACACCCAGACTCCAATTGAGCTGCTAACACACCAAATTTCACCTCTGACTTGACTCTTTTTAGACACTGAAACACTCCTGGGATTTAGATCTGTCAGTGCCACTGAAAGGAAAAGGAGTCTGGCACTGAATTTTCTTGGAAGCTCTGCAGAAGTTGTGACTTTTAGGCAGAAGCTGAGTGGGGAAGGATCCTTACCCGCAGGAAAGAGGGAAAACCCTGCCCATAGTACCCAACAGCAAAGTACTCGGGCTGAGGTCTCATGGCCTTCATGATGTTCTCATAAAAAGTTGCTCTTTTTTTCTGGAAAAGAAAACAACAGCACACTTTCACTTTGGAATACTCCAGGGCATTGCCAGCTGACATGCCCAGGGACAATTCCTGATCTCTGAGCTCTGCCCTCAGAACACACTTCACAACTGCTTTTTGATGCAGTCTCATCCTTATCCATTTACTTGATTAAATATTTGCTTTGTCTGGGCCAGAACCAACTTCATTTCCTGCTCTGCAGACATGAGAACAATGCCACGGCTTTAGGATTCCAGAAGGATATTTGAAATCCTTCACTGGGGGAAAACAAATGAAATACAACTATATTTTGAAAGAGAGCAGTCACAAATGGTGACAAATGTCAGAGAACTGGCAGAAATAAAACTGGGCACATGATTCTGCTGTGAAAGAACATAAAGACCATCTGGTTCCAGCCTTAACCACTAAAAAGCAGAATTCAGAGCCAAGAGGATTCTCTAGCTCTGTGTTCATGTCCAGCACTTTTACCACAGAAATAACAAGGTGATGAGATTTATGGAGCCTGAAAAAACACCCTAGTTGTTACTTCATTTGGTTAAGATCAAGAATTCTAAACATCTGCACATGGTATTATCATGCTAATTAGGAGGTGAAAAGCCACTGTGAAAATATTTATTCTACTACTAACCTTTACAAAGCCAGGGGGTTAACTTGGTTTGTTTGTCTTCAACATACATTTATTTTAGGCTTATCCTGCTTGAACAGCATTAATTTAAGCAGTCAGCAGCCTGCTGGATATGGAGGAAGAAAGCCTTACCAGGAGATTACCAAGTCCCTCGTAGTCAAAGACCTTGTTCTCATACATGTCAGCCAGCTCCTTGCTCAGCTGAATGGCTTTTTCCCACATCTCCACAGAGGGTGAGGACAGGCAGGAGGGGGAAGAAGAGCACAAGCAACATGAAAGGCTCAGTTAAAAGCCTTCATTAGCACAGATAGGTAAATAAAAACGCAGCTGATTTTAATTCAGGCACTGCTTTCATGCTCCGCCAGCTTTCCCTCAGACTCTGCTGTGCATTTGGGTTTTTTTTGCAGGGATTATTACAGTCATACAGATCTTGTGATTTGGAGATCTGAGAGTGATTTATAAAGCCAGGTCTCCACTGAGGTCCTGGCAGGACAGACTGAGGCACTGGGAGGAGGAAGGACAGGTCTGAACAGCAGAGAGAGAAGCACAGGTGGTCTCCTCTTGGACAGGGGTTCCTTGGCTTTGTAACTCACCATGGAATGATGGAATTTGGGTGGAAAGGGACCTCAAAGCCCAGTGCCACCCCTGCCATGGGCAGGGACATCTCCCACTGTCCCAGGGTGCTCCAGCCTGGCCCTGGCCCCTTCCAGGGATCCAGGGGCAGCCACAGCTGCTCTGGGAACTCCACCCCAGCCCCTCCCAGAGAGGAATTCCTTCCCAAGATCCCATCTAAATTTCCCTGATTTCAGCTCAAAGCCAGTCAGGCTGGCAGAACCCTCTCCCCAGGGTGCAGCTCCCAGGGTCAGTGCCAGCCTCTCTCCCTGCAAGCCCAAAACATTGGGAGGTTTAGGGAGCCCCTCCCAGGGGAAGGAAGGAGAACACCTGCCCTGCTCTACCCAGAACCTTGAACAGCTTCACCTTCCAGACACTCTTTGGCCAACACAGAAATAGGATTTAAATATCTCCAGACAAACACGTGCCCTGCTGATGGCAGAGCTGGGACCCCTGTCAGAAACCCAGCCTGGTATGGAACCACATCTGCTTTTCAACCCCAGCCTGCCCCAGCCACTGAGCCAAGAACTCACCAGCAAGGAAATCCTAAATCCACCCCAAAGTGAATCTGCCCCGGCAGGGCCTGCTGCAGGAGCAGGGCGAGACACTCACCTTGCCCCTGTCGAAGAAGGAGATGATCTCCTGGTAGAGCTTCTCCTTGAGCTCCTGCTGGGAGTACACGCAGTAGGAGTCCCTCTGCAGCAGGTGAGGGACACAGGGCTTCTCTGACCACTGCGACAGGGCAGGAGGCAAAGGTGAACAACTGGAACCCTCCCAGACAAATCCGTACAGGGTGACTCAAACCAAATCCCTCACGGAGGCAAAGGGAGGGATAGAAACCTGAGACATTCTGGCAGGGATGTAAACCTGAGACATTCTGGCAGGGATGTAAACCTGAGACATTCTGGCAGGAATATAAACCTGATACATTCTCTCCCAGCTCACTGCAGCAGGGGCACGCAACAAACTGATGCTAATAATGACTTTTCTTCTACTATTATTATTATTACTATTATTATTATTATTATTAAAAATATAAACCTGATACATTCTCTCCCAGCTCACAGCAGCAGGAGCACGCAACAAACTGATGCTAATAATTACTTTTCTTCTACTATTATTATTACTATTATTATTATTAAATTATACAACTTATTTGATATATTTTATAATATAAAATTATTATACATGTATATAACACATGATTATTTATACCTCATTATATCATTACATACACAACTATATAATTTCATAGATATCATTATATATATCATAGTTATAACTATTTTGCTGTGGAATCCCCAAGACTGTGAAGCCCCTCAATGACCACTGGTACCTACATATTCAAAGACCCATCAAAAGCAGAAAAAGAAAGGCTTTGGTTATTCTGAGCTGTGTGTGCCCCAGGAATGCCAAGCCCTGCATACCTGGAGCAGCTCAGCATGCAGCAGCAGGGTGTAGGCAGCCTCTGTGAAGTTCTCACAGTCTGTGTGCAGGTCCCTGAGCTTGTACAGGTACCTGAGCAAAGCAAGGCAGTTCCTTGGAGTGCAGGACTCTGCACCCAGGGAGCTCTGAGGGACAGAGCTGCCTCAGGCTCAAGGACATGTCCTACCTGATGTAAATGTCCTCTCGCTTCTTCTCCTTGTAGAAATTCTGCCAACAAGAGGAAAGTCAAACATTGGCAATGCAGAGCACCCCAGATTTCAGAATCATCTCCAGACAAGTAACCTGAGCAGCAGTTTTAGGCAGTTCAGGGATATTTGCTGTCATTTTGGCTGGATGGTGGATCCATCCCTGGGACCAGCCCTTCACACCACAGGGGCACCAGCACCTCCAAAAAGGGACAAATCAGAGAATTCCCTTGTCTAAAGTGATACAGGCTCTTTGCAGGGCCACAGGGATGCCAGCCACCAGCCAGGCACCTTCTCTGCCTGGGCTCCAGGGCTCCAGACTGGGGGATCAAGGACTTGACTTTGGACTGTCCATCTTTCTGTGGTTATAGCTCCAGAGCCTGACTTGAGCACACCATTAACCAAAAATGGCAGGAGGAAGTCATTAAAATCCTCCTCCAGATCAAAAATAATCCCAGGGGAGTCTAGAAAAGCCCAGGGGAGGTGCCCAAAGCCTGGGGGAGGGGTCCCCAGCCTGGGGAGGGGTTCCCAGCTCGGGTGATGGGTCCCCAAAGCCCAGGGAGCTGTCCCCAAAGCTCAGAGGAGCTGTGCCCAAAGCCCAGGGAGCTGTCCCCAAAGCTCAGAGGAGCTGTGCCCAAAGCCCAGGGAGCTGTCCCCAAAGCTCAGAGGAACTGCACCCAGCCCAGGGGAGCAGGAGCTGTCCCTAAAGCCCAGGAACATGTCCCCAAAGCCCAGCTGAGCTGTCCCCAGAGCCCAGGGAGCTGTCCCTAAAGCTCAGATGAGCTGTCCCCAGCCCAGGGCCATGCCCCAGAGCCAGCTGAGCTGTCCCCAGTCCAGGGCCATGCCCCAGAGCCCAGAGGAGCTGTCCCCAGAGCCCAGCTGAGCTGTCCCCAGCCCCCAGCTGAGCTGTCCCCAGCCCCCAGCTGAGCTGTCCCCAGCCCCCAGCTGAGCTGTCCCCAGCCCCCAGCTGAGCTGTCCCCAGCCCCCAGCTGAGCTGTCCCCAGCCCCCAGCTGAGCTGTCCCCAGCCCCCAGCTGAGCTGTCCCCAGCCCCCAGCTGAGCTGTCCCCAGCCCCCAGCTGAGCTGTCCCCAGCCCCCAGCTGAGCTGTCCCCAGCCCCCAGCTGAGCTGTCCCCAGCCCCCAGCTGAGCTGTCCCCAGCCCCCAGCTGAGCTGTCCCCAGCCCCCAGCTGAGCTGTCCCCAGCCCCCAGCTGAGCTGTCCCCAGCCCCCAGCTGAGCTGTCCCCAGCCCCCAGCTGAGCTGTCCCCAGCCCCCAGCTGAGCTGTCCCCAGCCCCCAGCTGAGCTGTCCCCAGCCCCCAGCTGAGCTGTCCCCAGCCCCCAGCTGAGCTGTCCCCAGCCCCCAGCTGAGCTGTCCCCAGCCCCCAGCTGAGCTGTCCCCAGCCCCCAGCTGAGCTGTCCCCAGCCCCCAGCTGAGCTGTCCCCAGCCCCCAGCTGAGCTGTCCCCAGCCCCCAGCTGAGCTGTCCCCAGCCCCCAGCTGAGCTGTCCCCAGCCCCCAGCTGAGCTGTCCCCAGCCCCCAGCTGAGCTGTCCCCAGCCCCCAGCTGAGCTGTCCCCAGCCCCCAGCTGAGCTGTCCCCAGCCCCCAGCTGAGCTGTCCCCAGCCCCCAGCTGAGCTGTCCCCAGAGCCCAGAGGAGCTGTCCCCAGCCCAGGGCCCCGTACCAGCACGTTGACGGTGCAGCTCATGCGGTTCTCCTTGCTCTCGTCGTGCATGATGGTCCTGTAGTCCAGCAGGTTCTCCAGGAGGCTGCTGACCAGCAGGGCAAACACCTCTCCCGGGGCTGCCAGGTACTTGTGCTTCCTGCAGTGCTCCAGCAGCCTGCAGGACACAGCAGTGCTCAGCTGCCCCGTGCTGCTGAGCGGGGTTTGGGGTGAATTCCCCAAAAACTCAGCGTTTCCCCCAGGGCTGCACAGCCACACCTGACACAGCCAGCTCAGGCAGCTCTTGCTGGTCAAAAAATGGACTTTTTGTTGCTAAAAGGTCCAGTTTTGCTTTAACTTTGAGCTTTTGAATCCTTTGAACTGAGCATTCTGTACCTTGATGTTACTGCTTGCTCAGCACTGCTGCATTCATGCACAGCAAATGAAGGCAGTAAATGGCCATAAAGCAATCTTTCCCAGAAGTACGAGATTACATTAAAGCAGATTAGAGTAAAACAAGCATTTCATACTTCTTTTGTCACTAAAATTCTTCTTTAGAATTAGATGAGTCTGCTGATTACATGGAATACTCTTATAGCAATCTTAAAAAATAGATGGCAGATTCATTACTCGATAATTTTCAGAAATTACCCAATTACTTCCACATGCAGCCCCCTGCCCAGTTTGGCAGCTGACTCTGAATTCCATCTCCAGTTTAGGGCAGTTAAGTGCAGAACAAACCCCTCATTTTAGGGCAATCAGCCCCAGAACACCTGCACAGCACTGAGATCACTGCACCTGCAGCAGCTTCCTGCTCACTGGAATAATTAATGAATTAGGGCTTCTTTGCATTGGGAAAGCAGCCCAATAAAGTGTGAAAAATATATAATACATATAAAAACTATATATATAATATATATAATATATTTATAGAATTCTATATACAATATATATTAATATAAATAATACATAATATGAATACAAAAAAGTATATAATAACATATAATCTAAATTAATAATAATTCATATTAGAATTTATTATTACAATTAGTATAATTATTATTTTATAATTTATTATAATATAAAATAATATATTATATAAATTAATAAAAAATATATATTATATAAGTAATGTATAATATAGAAATAATCTATAAAATATAAATAATATAAAAATATAAAATAGAGATAATATATGGAATCTGAAATAATATAAAAGTACAATATATTGACATAATATATATAATATAAAGTAATATAAACTAAGATATATATAATATAGCAATAATATAAAATAATATAACTATATAATATATAAATAATATCTAATATTAAATAGTATAGAAATATAGCATATATAAAAAAAAACTATATATATAATATATTTTATATAATTCTATATACTATATGAAATATATTAATATAAATAATATATAATATTAATTAATATAAAATATATAATAGCATATAATTTAAATTAGTAATAATTTATATTAAGATTTATTAATACAACTATTATCATTATTGTTGTAATTTATAATATATAATACATAAATTAATATCTATAATATAATGTATAATATAGAAATAATATATAGAATATATATAATATAAAACATGTAAAGTATAAATAATATATGGAATATGAAATAATATATAAGTACAATATATTGACATAACATATATAATATAAAGTAATATAAACTATCTAAGATATATATAATATAGCAATAATATAAAATAATATAACTATATAATATATAAATAATATCTAATATTAAATAGTATAGAAATATAGCATATATAAAATAATAAAAATACATCATGTACAAACAATACATATAATATAAGAGATATAAAAGGAGCCTCCAGGTGCTCTATAAAACTCACAGTTTCTCCAGCAGGACCTTGTACTGCTCATCCCCTCGGCCCCCCTCCACCTCCTGGTCCAGCCTGGTGATCAGCTCATTCTCAAACTGGGAAGACAAAACCAAACCCTCAGTGACACAGAGAGCAGGAGCAGGGCTGGCCCTGGGGGGCTCCTGAGCCCCCCAGCACACGCTGCCTTTGCAGGCCAGGCTCAGGCTGTGCTCAGGGCTCAATACAAGGATAAAAACCCAAACTGCAGGACTGGAGTGAGGAAATGCAATCCTCCCTCTCTCACCCCACACAGCTCTGGTGGAACTGAACCACCCCACAACCCTGGTATCTGGCTGCCCAGGAAAAGGCTCTTGTGGGGATGGACGTTGTTATTCTAAAGGTAAATAAAGCTAAAATGACATTTTAGACCCTCTGAGGGCCTCCAAACTCTTCACAGTTCAGAGGTGAGCATTGACAGCTCTGCAAATGCAGGGAAGGGTGAAAAAAGGGGAATTCAGGGATTATCAAAGTCATGGAAAGGCTCAGTCAGGACAGAGCTGCAATGTCCTGAACCCTACAAACCACAGGGACTTCACAGGGGGTTTGGCACAATTTTGGGTAGGATGTTTTTTATTTTTTAAAGTATTCTATTTTTCTTTTACACTATGGACAATGTGGAACATTTGTAGTGAAGATACCAGTATTGTGAGCATATTGCAAATACAAGTATTATAGTGTACTTATACATATATATTATTTCATATACATATTATTTTATAGTCATATATAATGAATATACAATTACATGGTGTATAATAATTTTATATATGTTAAAATACTGTGTCTTTTCACATACTGTACATATATTTCATATTATATTGCACTGAATATCTATCTATATATTGTATTATTATACATATGGGTTAAATCTGGCATCCCTTACCATGTGGAAGTTCCCGTTCCCACTGAAGTTGAACTCACACTGCATCATGTCAAAAAAGATGGGAATTGTTGCTTTCCTCAGCTCAGGCTCTGGGACCAGGGTCACCTCCAGGATTGGCCCCACCATGGCTGGGATGAATTTTATTTTGTGGGGACCTGCAAGAAATTTAAAGTCAAATACATCCAGTGGCAGGATTTGGATTTCCCAATGTTTAAGCACATTATTCACACAACAAATGCTCTGCTCAGAATGTAGATTTTACGTGGATGTTACTTAAGGAAGAATTAACAGGTTACAGCTCCAAAATTCAGGAACAGCCCAAGGAAATGATTGAGCTGAATTGTAAATCACAAAAAAATGCTCTCTGAAAAATCCCACTCATCCTTTACATGGCAGAACATCCTTTGGAGGGAATCTAAGAAATTATCTCAGCAGCTGATGTGAGGAGAAAATCAGCTTTTCCAGTTATTCACAGAAAAAAAGGGGTTTTTGTGTGCTGAAACAGCTGAACTATAAGTGCATTTCTCCACATTAAACACGTGCAGCTTTTATAAGGAAATAAGGATTTGAAAGCCAGCTTGAGAGCTGGAATAAAGAGAATTCTTTAGCTGGAACTCACCCAGGTTATACCACATATCCCTGATTTTGAAGCCGATTTCTTTCCTCATGTCCCCATACCTAAGAAAGCATTAAAAGGAAGAGATGAGAAGGCCCAAGCACAGAAATGGTCCTGGGACTGCTGCTGAAGAAGTGAGTAGCAAAGCCACAAATGACCACGGCTCCCTCTGACAGGGCACTGCAGACTGCTGAGAGCAGAATTTCCTGGGAATTCAGATTTCCTGGAAGCTGCAGCCCTTCTGCTTCCTGCAATTCCACCCCACTTGGGTTGGGTTTGGCTGTTTTTTCCTAAAGCTTTAACCTCTGACATCAAGGTAATGCAAAAAGATTTAATTATCAGGCTTCTTCAAGCCACTTCTGCAGAAAAAAGGGACAAATCATGACAAAAGTCTGCATCAAGATGCTCAGACATATCCAGGCACACAATTCCAAGGAATGAGGAGGTAAAAGCTGCTCAGTGACTAAACATTGCTGCTTTGGGGCTATGAATGGCTCTGAAAAGAAGAAGAGTAAAAGGTGGGGGACTAAAAAGCTGGAGGGCTTTTAGGAATCCTCTGACCTACCTTCCATAAAGGCCGAGGAATTGCCTAAGGGCATTTTGGGAATCATGACAACCTTTCCATTCCAGACCTTCCAGTGGAGACACTCCTGGCAAGGCCCTGCAACAGCTCGAGATCTGCCTGACCAAACTTCAAACAGCCCTGATTTACAGCCCTGACCTTATCCTGGTCACTCCTTTATCACAGTGCCTTAATCAGCATTTCCACAGCGCCTCCTCCCACCCTGGGGGTGTCTGGAACACCCAAAAGGAGCCTCCTGGCAGCAGAAAGGGCCTGAGATGGGAACTCACTTCTTGATGATTTTGTTGCGCTTGGCCTGGGAGAAGGTCTCCAGCTGGAGGGACTCGTGAGTGAGGAAGGCCACGGCCAAGTGGAAGTAGTTATTCCAGAGCTGGGGGAGAGAAAGGAGATTAAAATGGGAGGATACAAAGGAAAAGCAAGAGCAGGCACAAAAAAGCTGCCCAGCCCCAATGCAGAGCTCTCCATGAGGAGGGGAACCTCAGGGAGCCACAGCCTGCTAACAGTGGGATTCAGCTGTTCCAGCAGGTCTGGGAGCCATAAGGAAACCCAGAAAAAACAGGACAATCACCTGGAGCTCAAAATGAGTTTGATCCAGGAAGAAGCGGTTGAGGACAGAGGTGAATTGGTTCACTGCCCGGAGGAAAACCCTGAAGAGATAAAAACATCAAATTAAGGTGATTCTGGACACAAAATCAATGACACTGCAGCTCTGGGCTTACAGCCCCTATGTGTAAACTCAGGAGACAGCAACAGATGCTCCCAAAAAAGGCAGGAATTCCCTAAATCAGGGAATATTCAGGCAAAGTTAACCCTTGGTTTAACAGCCTCAAGTTGCACTGGGGAGGCTGAGGTTGGATATCAGAGAAGATTTCCCCTCTGGAAGAGTGGTTAAGCATTGGCCAGTCCTGGTTTTAGGTTTCCCATGTGATTCCCCCAGAACTGAGAGCAAAAAGGCTTCTCTGGATTGAGCTGTAACAGAGACCCCAGGGTTTGATTACATTTTCTGGGCAGGACAGAGACTTCCAGTTCCACCAGTGGAAATGCACAGGAGCTAAAACTGGCTGGAATCTGATTTAAACCAGCATGAAGTGGCTGAAGAAAATAAACTGCCTTGTGGGAATTGCCCTCCTACCAGGTCCAGGGAGGCTCCAAAGCCAGACTTGGCCCAGGCTTCACCCCGTACCTGCTCTGCATCATGTTCATGACCATCCAGTCAGCTGCATACACGTTCTTCCCAATCAGATCCTTGAACATAATGAATGTTTCCATCAGGAAGTCCTGTTGGAAAAACAAAACCCATCAGGCTGCACGTGGTGGGTTTGTGTCCATGGAATTACAGGGAATTGATGCTGTGACCTCGTGAAATGCAAATGCTGGGACTGCACTGATTAATGATCATGCTGATTGGCAATCAGTGCCCTGCCCTGCCTAGGGGGGGCCTCTCATTGTGTGGGCACGGCCCAATAATGAAATTATTCCTGACATCTCATCCATCCAGAGCCACAAGGAGAAATAATTGCACAGAATGCTGGTCTGTTTAATGGTGTCTGTCTTTGCTGTTTTGCATTAAGCTGTGCTGGAGGGAGTCCTGTGCACGAGCTGGATTAGAGAGCAAAACCAATATTGCAGGGCTTGCTCCCAAATCTCTGAGTGGTGATAATGCAACACAATGATCTAGAAAGCCTGAAATTACAACGTATTTTCACTCACTAATTAGTTAAATCTTTCCTGGTCCTGTTTAAGAACAGTTAAGGAGAGGCAGTGAATATAATATCAGAGATGTGATTTAGAATTATTTTACATTATTGTAGAAAAGATACTTTTTGCACAAACACCTTCCAAACACGACTTCAAACTTGGAAAAAACAAGGCTGAATTGCAGAATGAAAGAGGAAAAAAAAAAGAAAATGAACAGAGATGAGCAAAAGAAGGGAACATAAGGAATATTGATCTCCTCCTTGTGGTCTCAGCAGGTACAAAAGCCACTTTGAGCTCTTAAGTCAATTCTATTCTCTGCAGCAGCACATTAATATTCAAATATGAGAGGGACACAAAGAAGGTCACAGGAGGAGCCATCCCCTTGAAATGATCACCAGTAAAAAAATCTGTTGAGCTGAACAGTTTGGGCTGAAGAATTGGCAAGATATTGATGGAGAAGAGGAGCACTTGGTGCTGCCTCAGTAAAAATCCTTTTGGCATTAATAAATCAGAGCCTGATGAGAGGGTTGGGCTTGACACGGGCACCTTGAAGATAAGAATTAACTCCTGAAAGTGCCACACTAACCAGGGAATGATGCCAAAGCAGGGCTGGAAATACCAGCAAAGACAAACCCAATAATGAACAACAAAAATAAAAGAAGTATTTTAAAAAGCAGTTATTGCAGTGAAACACAGATTTCTGTTGGTATTAACAACTCCCACACCACTACAAAGGCAGCTTTGCTCCTGTAGATTTAAAGGTACATAAAAATCAGATCAGAAATTACTATTTTCCATAATCACCCTGAAAATCTTCTCAGTGGATGAACACTTACAGAATTCCTGAATCTGCCTGATTTTGGCATTTTTTTCCCTTCTTTCCTTCCTTCCTCCCTTCCCAACAAATCACTTGGGAAAGATAAAACCAGTCCTAAACCCACATGAAGCCTGAGTGACCTGTAGATGGCTGTGTTGCTCCACGCTGGCTCAAGAGCTGATTTTGCAAGTGATTTTCTGTGAAATTCTGTAATTCCAACTGCACAGGGGAGAAAGGGATCACCTTGGCTCCCCAAACTGAATTCCAAACCTTCTGGTGGCTTTTGGTACAGGAAGAACACAACTCCAGGCCCTTCCCCAGCTGGTATTCAGTAAACAGCCACTTCCCAATTGCAAAATAAGGAATAAAGGGACAAACCAGCTCCAACAGCTCTTGTGTTGTGCACCAGTCCTGCTAAAACACTAGTTTGGGCCATTTTGGGGAGTTGGGGGAAAATCTGCTGATTTTAAGCAGAAAAAACCTTCAGAAACATAATATTTTACCTTGTTTCACAGCCAAAGCTTTTTGGGGACGTGAATTTTTAACATTCTGATAACTTTCTGCATTGCTGCCACTAAAGCAAGGTTCAAGCATTTAATTGAACTTCAGAGGAGGGGAAAGAATTAGATAAAGAGAACAGGGGCACAAAGTGAGAGCCAGACAAAGAGAAATGCTTTTGCTTTTCCATCTTCATTCCCTCTTCTGGTTCCTGACTCAAATCAAACATTCTTTACCTATTAAAGATGTTTTTCCTCAATGCCACAAATGCTTGGGCTCTGCTGAGTCAGCAGCCCCCCAATGCCCAGCAAGGGTGACAGGAATGAATTCCCAGCAGCTGTGGCACCAGGAGCCACTGCTGAGGGTTTGCTCACCCCAACTCAGCAGAGCAACGACCCTGCAGAGCAGGGTGGTGATGCTGGGTGGGCTGAGGTCATTCCCCAGCCAGGCTGACTTACAATGATGTCCTGCCTGGTTTTGAAAGTGTTGATGTAATGGCTGTAATGGAAATCATCCATCTGCCTCAGGATGGCTGTCATGCAGGCCACAAAAATCCCCTGGAATGGAAAAACCACAAAATACTGGGTTATTCTCCTGGGTTAAGCACTGTAATTCCAAGTGTGGCATGTCAGTGTGACCTGATCAAGTATCACTGATCAGAATCCTCCTTATCTGTGTCCTGACATCATCCTGAGACAGCTTAGCCCTCTAAACCAGTCAAGAATTCCTAAAATTCAAGCTTGAAATCTGGGTATTGCCTTCTTTTCCCCCATGGATCACAACAGAAACACATCCTCCAAACAAAGAATTTTTTAAATATATCTATTGATCCACTACATCAGATCTTGAAGGTCCTTTCCAAGCTGACTCTGATTTTCAGATTTAGCAAGGCCAGCTGCAATTCTCATGGGTGGCACATTAAGGTGACCCCTGTGTTACCAAAACTCAGGTAAATCCCCTGCTCCTGGCTCTCCCATCCTTCTGCACAGGAACTGCAGGGTGAATTAAAACACCCCAGAGCTGCCTGCCCCCCCTCAGCTGCCACACAGGGGTCAGAAATGCCCCTGAAGGGTCTCACCCCCCAGCAGCTCATCCTTTGAGCCCAGGTGACAAAATGCAGCAAAGATCCTGCGTCAGGCACTGCTCTGACACAAAATTCTGTGCACAGGGGCCAAAAGGAAATGAAATCACCCCCGATGACTCAGCTCAAACTGGAGTGGGATAACCTGAATCCTAATCCTCAGAAAAACACCAGGAGTCACGGCTGGGTGGCACAAAGGCCCTGCAGGGCAGGGAGAGATGAGTTCATCAGGCACTGCTGCCCTCTGAGAGCTCCCAGGGGATGAACCAGTGTCAGGAGTGCTGGGAAAGGAGGGGAGGGCTCCCAGGGGATGAACCAGTGTCAGGAGTGCTGGGAAAGGAGGGGAGGGCTCCCAGGGGATGAACCAGTGTCAGGAGTGCTGGGGAAGGAGGGGAGGGCTCCCAGGGGATGAACCAGTGTCAGGAGAGCTGGGGAAGGACGGGAGGGCTCCCAGGGGATGGAATCCCTGCCAGGGCTGGGGGGAGGCAGGGGGGAAGGGCTCTCAGGGGATGGAATCCCTGCCAGGGCTGTGGGGAGGCAGGGAAGGGCTCTCAGGGGATGAACCCCTCTGTCAGGGCTGCTGGGGAGGCAGGGAAGGGCTCCCAGGGGCTGGAATCCCTGTCAGGGCTGGGGGAGGCAGGGAAGGGCTCCCAGGGGCCGGAATCCCTGCCAGGGCTGGGGGGAGGCAGGGAAGGGCTCTCAGGGGCTGGAATCCCTGCCAGGGCTGGGGGAGGCAGGGGGGAAGGGCTCTCACGATGTGCGGGGACTGGCGGCTCATCCCGATCACCGTGCGGTTGATCCGGCGCAGCAGCCGCTCCATCATCTGCTGGATGTGCAGAGCAGTGGCACCCTGGGGACAGCCAGCAAGGGACACTGGAGACCATTCCTCAGGCACAGCCTTCCAGGGGCAGCTCCCTGTGTGGGAGGACTGCCCTGGCAGTGCTTCATTTCATTAGGGGAAGCAGAAAAAGGAGATTTAAGCACATAGAGTAATCAATTCAAAATCTCTGGGATTCACTTGGGGGAGAATTCCCTTAATGGATCTGTCCCAGCTTCATCAGCTCATCCTGGGGCTTTGACATCTTTTCTCTGAACAGCTCAAACCACTCTGTTCACAGCCACTCAGAACAATTCCCATGGCCAGATTGGGAAGTGCATCTTTCTGGCTGAACAGTGATTTATTCCACAACAGAGAGAATGAGCAACCTCCTCATTTTTATACCATGTAATACTTTGACTTGCTCCAAATTACTGAACAAGCCACCCAGGCAGCTGAGATGACATTTTGGTCCCTAGAAAGGGAAGTAAATGCTTCTAGTAGTGATAACAACTAATTCAACCTTTCCTGGCTCCTTCTCAGACAGAGCCCCTACAAAGAACTGCACAGCAAGGCATCACAATTTCTATAAATATCACAATTCTGACTCATTAAAGCACAATAGAGGATGTTTCTTTACTGTGATTCTCAAAGGAAGAAGTGAGCTGAACTGGCAGCCCTGAGAGCTCGTGCTCACCACATCTTTGCGGTCCAGGACCTCCAGGACACTGCTCAGGAGCTGGGAGCTGGCCTCGTGGTCGGGCTTGCTGGAGTTGTCATCCAGCTGCCCACTCAGCTGATCGATGAGCAGGGGCAGGAGGGCATCTCTGCACTCTGCAAAGTGACACAGGGACAGACAGAGCCTCAGCAGGCCCTGGGTACGGGCACCTCACAGCAGTGCCCTGCTCCTGATTCCATCAGAACCTGCTTAAAGCCCCTGGAGTTACAACAAGCAGACTAGAGAGTCATAAATGATCTGTAATTTGAATAATGGAATCCCAGAATAGGTTGGGTTGAAGGGACCAAAAGGAGAATCTCATCCCACCCCTGCCATGGGCAAGGACACCTCCCACTGGCCCAGGGTGCTTGGACACTTCCAGGAATCCAGGGGCAGCCCCAGCGGCTCTGGGAATTCCATCCCAGGCCCTGCCCACCCCCACAGGGAGAAATTCCTTCCCAATATCCCATCTAACCCCATCCATTAATTTATAAATTGTGTATATTCCATCAAACAGCACACTCAGCTTCTCCCTCCTTCTGAATCACCACCCTGGGTCAGGATCCCCCTTACTGGGCATTGTATAAAGACTGGGCAGCAAAAAAACTCAGTTCTTCTGTGGCAAGGAATGTTTCTAGAGTTGCATTTAACAGTGGATTGCCCCTGATGACTGGCACGGGAAGTCATTTTGAAGGCTGTGTGGCCCCTGGCAGAACCCAGAGCCTTCCAAGCCACTCACCAGCCTGCTTGAACAGGTCACTCTCCACGATCTTGGTCAGGCAGTTCAGCTTCTGCCGGACCAGCTGGTTGTCAGGGATGCTCTGGATGAACTTGCTGAAGAGGACACTGTGTGCAGCCCAGAGGGAGCAGAGGGTCAGCACTGCCACCCAGCATCAGCCCACCCACCCACACAGACACTGCCCTGCAGCTGGGCCCCACAGCATCCCAGAACAGGCTGGAAGGGGCTTAAAGCTCCCCAAGTGCAGCCCCTGCCATGGCAGAGCCACCTCCCACTGCCCCAGGATGCTCCAGCGTGGGAGGGATGGGACAGCCACAGCTCCTCTGGGAATTCCATCCAACAGGCACATCACTACAGAGCCCTGACTGATTTTCAAGGAATTTAGCACAGGACCTGAAGTCCTGCTGAGGTGTTAGGGCATGGGTTGCACTCGATGATCTTTAAGGTCTCTTCCAACCTAGTCACAGAATTCTGTGAATTCTGTCAAAGTAAGACTGAGCAGTGCTCAGGAACTGCAGGCTTGAACCTCTTTAAATGGCACTTTTATTCCAGGACACACCAGGTACATCCCACACCTACACACAGGCAGTGCTCTGTGCCCTCCCAGGTAAATCACAGTGGCTGTCACACCCAGGGAAAGCAAGAGTTTGAAAAGACATCTGAACCGAGTCAGCAGCCCTGGTGAAAGCTGGAACATCCCCAGCACAAAGGCACAGCCTCCTTCCAGATGCCCCTTGCAGCAGGAGCAGTGACTCACTCCAACCCGAGATCCCCTGTCATTAAATCCCATGGATGTTTGCTGCCTGTCTGCTGCTTCCCAGCAAATCACTTGTGTCAGGACAGGGAGACAGGGCTGGGCAGCTCTGGGCAAAGCTCTGAGCACCACAACCAGGCATCCAGGGGGCTGAGAATTTCCTGGATGTACACAACCCAAAGCTCAGCCTTTGCCACTTTTCAGGAGCATTCACCAAGAACTGGTGCAAACTTGCATGAGGTTTCAACACTGCCCTCAGATTTTGCTTTTCAGTAAAATCTCAAGGTGCCTGTAAGGATCCCAGAATCCTGGAATGATTTGGGTAGTAAGGGACCCTAAAATCACCCAGCTCCACCCCTGCCATGGGCAGGGACACCTCCCACTACCCCAGGCTGTTCCAAGCCCTGTCCAGCCTGAGCTTGGACACTCCCAGAATGAAAAATTGGGATGCAGAGAATCCTCTGAACATCACTGACTTCCCTTAAAGCCCTGCAAGCACCTCACTGAGTCCATGCACAGGATCTGCACCATCAGATCATAACCAGAGTGGCTGTTTTTGGCCAAATTTCCACAATTCTTCCCACCAGATAAGCTGGGTTTAGAGGACAAACAAGCTTAGTACAGTTACCTGAGCTCAACAGGGTCAAATACCAGTTTGACATCATTTATGATGCTTGGCAAGTACTTTAAAGCTGCTCCCTGAAAGAAAGAAACCAAGGACATGAAATGCACGTGGGAAATCCAGTTTTTGTCAAAAGCAAATCTGGGGACAACTGCAGAGAACTGGTTTCTAAATCAAATAAATCAAATTTATGCATCCAAAGAGCCTCCAGCCACCCCAGATCTGCAGTGCAGAGTGGGAAAGATGGAGGAGGAGGGGTTCCTGGATAATTCTCTCATTCCTTTTTCTGGCCCAGCCCCTTCCCAACTGCACCAGTTGATCTAATTAAAGTTTTTTACTTTTCCCTGGAAATTATGCTCACCTTGATCTTGACAGCCTCCTCCAGGGGCCGGTCCATGAGGACATTGAAGGAGAGGAACAGCTGGCGAATTGCATCATTGAATTCATTCCCATCCTCACTTTTCCCATAAACACTGCAAAGAACAGGGCCAGTTACACACGGAAATCCAGCAGCTGAAACAGGATTTCATCCTGTGGAACAACATCTTAATGCCACCTCCTTCCACGAAGACATGGCGGTAAAAATGGAATTGGAGATTTTGCAGTCATTTCCTGCTGGAATCTCTTATAGGAGAAAACCTGCACTTTTTAGGCTGCCACTGCAGCCAATTCTGCTTGGGTTCCAAGTATTAAACAGGAAAAAAAATCCAGAATGGACATGAATAAAGGGTTTCAAACCCTCACTGTCAATCTCTGGAAAGATGTTTTTGAAGCTGCAATTAAACCCCGTTGATTTTACCCCACCTGGAGAATATGTCACCCCCACCTCACCTAATGACTGAAGTATCTGTGTATTGGTTTCTTACAGTTTCTGAAAATGAGGAGGAAATTAATGTTTTACTTTATAAAAATAAATACTGGTTCCTTTTCAGCTCTACCATGGGCTGTTTATTGCATGTTAGTGGGGACTAAAAGGTTTTTCTCCTTTCTAATCTGGTATTTAACATTTTGCTCAACTTATTTGTTCCAGCCACAGACAAAGGGCTGAAAGATCCTCTTAATCAGTCAGTGACAGAGGATTTGGTGAAGAATATCTGCTGTGGTGATATTTACTGGAAGGAACTCAGTGGGTTTCCCAGAGCAGGCCCAGGGAGGGAAGGGCTGGACCCACCTCAGGTACAGCACCCGGGACTGCACGATGAACCTGAACAGGTATTTCAGGGCTTTCAGGGCTGCAAAGAGCAGCTCTGTCTTGCTGGAGTCCTCAGCATTCCCCACGTAGCAGTTCAGGACTTTGGTGAGTTTCCTTTGGAAATAAAAACAAAAAGGGGAACCAATACAGGCACAGCTCAGCTCCTGTGCAGGTCCAGCTTCGTCACCCCAGAGAGGAACTGCAGGCACAGAAACACCACAGGGCTCCTCCTCACAGCCCATTTCCTTCTCAAATCTTGGGCTCAGAGTCTACAGATTCCATCCTCTTGCTCTGCTTTTCCTCTGCCCCAAAAGGAGCTGCCCAGGAAGATGCAAACCCCGTTCCCAGGGGAAGGGACTGAGGTTTTGTCCCTGTGTGAGAATTCCCACGAGTGCAGCAGGAGGAGAAAAGGAAACCACGGGGAAGCAGTGACTGTGTGCCAGGGCAGGAAGGAGGCATTCCAGGAGAAGGGGACTTCTAATTGTGTTTATTTTAGGGTGACAGCCAGTTCATGTGGATCAGTAAAAATTAAGAGGAGATTTTTTAGAGAGGAAAAGCAGTTTTGTTTCTGGTTTTGCCCTCCCTATTGGCCTCAGTTTGAACTTTTCACTTCTGCTACCACAAGGGTGATGACCTTTGGCTGAGGGGTGCTTGATCAAGGGGCTGGAAAGCCAAGATCCATGGCAGAAGTGTCTTTTCTGTCTGTTTTGACAGAAAAAAAAAATCTCACAATAGAATTTTTTAGAGGGCAAAAAGAGCAATAAGAAGGATTCTTTCTCTCCTGAATGAAGAGAAGGGATGGAACTCTGCTCTCTGCTGCCTTTATCCCATTAACATCATCAAAAATGACCTAATGAAATACATCACCAAGAGGTGATCTCATGCCCAAAGCCCTCAGTGACACTGCTGGGGGACAGCCGAGGCTTGGGACCGATACTCACACGTAGGCCAGGGTTGCACTGAAGTGTTTGTAAATGTAAGTCTCAAGCACAGCGTTGAAATGCTGGAACTTGATGTCTCCAATCAAAGAAATAATAAATACCTGCCAAAAATCCAGAAGGAAACAGATGCACAGAGCTGCACACTAACTCAAATAGAACCGTCTCTAATCTATTTTGCTGGGTTATAATTTTTGTTTTATCAACAGCATTAATGCTACAGAGAGTGTTATTCATGTTACAACAGTCACTAAACACTGTGTGTGTGCAATTTATTACTCTTCTTACTGTGGCTACTAAAAACCTGATGTGCATTTCAGTCCTGGCTCCTGAAAAAGCCTTAAGAAGTGTTAAATATCATTTTTTCTAGAGCAAAATACCAATTGCTCATTGGAATCACCAGGAACAGACTGGAAATGTGGCTGAAAACTCTGCAGCCATAGAAGATTCACTCACCAGGGCATCAAACACCAGGAAATCATAGGTTTCATTTTCTGACATTTCCATCATGATGTTGAAAAGTGCATCGAGGGTGTCTGGCAAAAACTAGAGGGGAAAAGGAACAGTAAAAAGGTGAGGAAAGGCAACTACTTCTGGCATCCTGCACAGGAGAATGAGTTGGATCATTCTGCCCCTTCCAGCCTGGCTGAACTGTAAAACTAGTCCATGAAAAAACATCTCTAAAGGGATCCCAGCCCTGTGACCATGAGAAAACATCTCAAACAGAGATCCCAGCCCTATGCCCATGAGAAAACATCTCTAAAGGGATCCAACCCTGTGACCATGAGAAAACATCTCTAAAGGGATCCAACCCTGTGTCCATGAGAAAACATCTCAAACAGAGATCCCAGCCCTATGCCCATGAGAAAACATCTCTAAAGGGATCCAACCCTGTGACCATGAGAAAACATCTCAAACAGAGATCCCAGCCCTGTGTCTATTAGAAAACATCTCAAAAGGCATCCCAGCCCTGTGCTCATGCACGTGATTGTCATGATCATCTCTATAGTAAGGAAGATCTTCTCAGCTCTAAATGGCCCCACTTTGCTGTTCTATTCCCTTTCATCCCACAGGATGAAAACCCTGAGCTCTCCAAAGCAGCCCGGCCCTGTCCCGAGGCAGGACACTGCACTCAGCCTGTCTGCAGTGGCACAGTGACACATTAACTTCATGTTCAGCTGCCCCATAAAACCATCACCCTGCAAAATCCCAGCACATTCACTCTGGGGACCCCTCTCTGCAGGTGAGACTCTTCCTCCTCAATCCTTCAGCAGACTGTTTTCTGTGGAATTCCTCCATTTCAGGTCCACTCCCTGCAGTATTCTCTGAGATCTCTGGGCTGTCTCTGCTCCCAGATTCACAGCAAGCCCCTCCTCATTCACAAAGGAAAATGAAAATGAAAATTTCATTGAAAATGAAAAGTGAGGCTTTGGATGCATTTCTAATTTCATAAAGATAAATGGGGAAAATAAAGTCACTACCCTCTCCCTGATGCCTGTAATGTTCAGATTCTGTAATTCTGGTGAATTCCACTAAGGAGAGGTGGAGCACAGGCTCCCAGAGGAGCTGTGGCTGCCCCATCCCTGGTGTCCAAGTGTCCAAGGCCAGGCTGGAGCAAGCTGGGACAGTGGAAAGTGTGGCAGGGGGTGGAAAAATCTGATTTTAAGGTCCCTCCTAAGCCAAACCATCCTATGATTTGATGATTCCCCCACTCCTCAGCACTCAGACCTGCCCTCCCAGCTACCCAGACACCTTTTGGGTCCAACACCAGGCTGACACACGAGAGTGTGTGCACCAAGGAGGCTCACATCCCTGGGAATACCTTCACAATTTCTCCTCCTTCCACCTCCATGAGCTTCCTGAGGTTGTGGGCGATGTTGTGGGCGTTGGAGCGCCAGTTCAGCAAACCCAGCAGGTCAACTGCAAGGACACAGAGAGCAATCAGCAATTACAGCTGACTGAAGGGCTGCAGCAAGGCTGGGGGCTATTTTTAGTCCGTGCACAAAGAACAGTCACCCTGAGGTACAGAATGTTATCTTTAGGTGCTTCTTTTGCCTTGGCAAAACAGCAAAGCTCTGCTATAAATGGAAAGCTGGCTGCCATCTGATAACACATTTAGAGACCATTTTGCAGGTTTTTTATGGACTCAAGAGCAGGTATCTCAAGCCAGGAATTTTATTCAAGTGCACAACTCAGTGCAGGAGCCTTCCAGAGCTGCTGGAAGTCTCCCATCATTTACCAGCCCAGACTGCTCTTCATTTTGACCCCTTAATGCACATCATCACCCTGGAGAGCTCAGCCCTAACTGCTGCTCTCTTACCAGGCAGAGGAAAAAAGGCAATTAACCTTAAATATTTGAAATTCTGATAAAACACAGACACTATCACTGACAGATGACATTTCCACATGTGCCAACAAACTTGTTGGGGTGAACACTGGCAGTCTGGATTGAGTATTTGTGTGAAAGGCTTTCTAGGGGCTGCACAAACATTCTGGGAGTTTGTTGCGGCAGCTTGAACAAGGGACGGGGCTGCCACTGCCACGTGAGCAGCAAAATGAAAGCTGAAGCTCTCTGGCCACACACAAAAAGCTGCCTGAAGAAAATGCCCTCTGTATTTCAGAGCCCCAGCACAAGCCCTACCATTCTGGGTGAGTTTGGTGGAGCAGATGACAGTGGCAATCTGGAAGCTGTCCTTGGTGCTGTCCTTCGTGGGGGTGAAGTTGGCCAGAGGGTGCAGGTTTTTCCCTGAGGGAGCCTCCTTCTCCTCCATCTCTGTTTTGGTGCAAGGAAGAGTCAAATAACTCTTGGCATCTTCCATTTTCTTGTTGTCACCCTGTTGGTTGGACAAAGCAGGGAGAAGGGTCATGTCCCACAGTGACAGCCAGAATGGGTTTGAAATACTTTCTCATCTCTGTCATTGTCTGAGTTCCTAGTTTCAGGGATAAGCTGCCCATACTGCAAATGAACTGAGCTATTTCCAAAGCCACAGAGTTCAGGAGGATTGCCCACCTAACACACACATTTTGTAGCTTTCTACTGCTTGGAAGATCAGCCAGGAGAGAGTTTTGGTGAGTTAAACAAGAGACAAGGCTGGAAATGCCTAGGTTACCTTGTAAACAATCAAATTGTGTTTGCCATCCTGCAGCGTTGTCCCATCTGCATTCATCAGCTTCACAAAGCCCATGCCAAAAGCTCTCTCAGATCTATCCCTGGCTGCAAAACAGGAGAAATCTTCATTAGCAATGTCTTATTCATGTCCACACAATCCAAAATGCAGCCCTCTAACCCCATCAGCAGCTGTATTTAATAGGTAACTGCAGCTACACAAACACATCCTCCTGGAGCATCTCCCACACACGATTTTAGTGGTTTTTGCCCTGACAGATAGACAATGATGGTTGGACTCCTTGATCTTAACAATTCAGTGATCCTCTGATACAGAATTCTATAGGTATTTTTGGCTGGGATTTTGGTTCCAGCAGCTGTATTTAATAGATAACTGCAGCTACACAAACACATTCTCCTGGAACATCTCCCACACACAATTTTAGTGGTTTTTGCCCTGATAGATAGACAAATTGACAGTTGGACTCCTTGATCTTAACAATTCAGTGATCCTCTGATACAGAATTCTATAGGTATTTTTGGCTGGGATTTTGGTTTGTGAGCTGTGGATATGGAAGCATGTCACTGCCAGGTGCCTTTGAGATCCTTTCAATGCCTGAGCCTCACATTATTGATCTCATTTCAGGGCTGTGAAGTGATCTGATGGAACTTCTGGCTCTAACTCTCTCATTAGCCTTTTATTAGCCTAATTAGAAATCCTCCTATAGGAAGATCATTAGAAGCCCACCAAGCCTTGCAGTGAATTTTGGGAAATCAATTAAAAGCAACATCCTACAGTGAGAAGCCAAAGTAATAACAAACATTCATCATTGTCTTTTGGGGGGAGAAACTGTTGCTCCTTACCAAATTTCAGTTTCAGGACAAAACCAGCACCAAACTCTGGGTGCAAAAAATGTGAATGATTTTTGGTTTTTTGCTTGCCACAAAAGTGGGAGTAAGTAAACTGAACAAGAAGAAAATCCGTAACACTGTGACTCAGCAGAAATGTGAGTTCTACACTCAGTGGGAGTGTGAGGAGCAGTGGGAGTGTGATTTTTTTAAGGATTCTGCAGGTGTCCCTTCCTCACTCACATTCCTGCGACGAGCGGTGACGGAACGTGAACCTCAGGTGGCAGCGACTGACTTCTTCTATGGCAATGGCCACCTGCATGGGAGAACAGGATGAAAACAGCATTCCCTCTGCCCAGCCACTCTCCAGCACATCCCGGTGCTGTTTTACATCAGTCCTGGTTTGCACACAGAGGAGGAACGCAGTTGTTGATGTTCCTGGAAAAGGGCTGTTGACAAGTTAGACTACCCGACCCTTGAGCAGACTAACAATGTGTGTTATTGTCTTAGAATTAGTAAGGGATTTTTGTAAGAAGGAACAAAAAGGCTTGATTGTAAAGAATTTGATGGTATATGTTGAAAACTTCTCTGTGCATTCTAAATCAGTCTCTGATTGAGGTTCTGATTAACAACTGGCAAATTGCTAAAGAGACCTCTTGAGCTGCGTTTGTTCTCCTTCCTGCAAGGGGTCCTGCAGGGGATTACAAATGCTGCCTCCTCCTTTAAACAAAAACTGTCGATATGACAGTTCAGTCAGAGAAACAGATCACTTTCCCAGGAACTGCTCTGGGAAAAGCTGTGAGAAGGCTGAGAGAAAGAATTAAAACAATCTTGCAGCTGGTGCTTCGTCCAAACACGAACTGGAGTCTCAAGTGTCTTCAACCCAGACCCAGAGAAACCAATATAAATGTATGACTAGCAAGCAAGCGAGGAGCTGGAGGAGCTGTTCTCATGGAAGTTTTGTCTGGTTCTATCTGGATTTCAGCTCCGTGTGTGATGGGGTGACAAAGGGACAAAGTGAGAACCGTGGCAAACACCATGCCCTGGGCTCTGGGAAGGGATTAAACTCCACTAAGCCTTGATTCCTTGACTTTCACCACCCATTTATTCCCTGGGAGCTCCCCCAGGCCAGGTTTCCCCCAGGCTGCACCTTGGCCTTTGTGGTTGACCTCCTTGGCAGCGATGACTTTGTTGAAGACAGAGGTGAGGGGCTCGTTCTCGCCGATGACGTGGGAGGTGATCAGGGGGGACATGATCAGCTGGCGCTGCCTGATGTAGGTTTCCATGGCAATCCTGGGCAGGAGGACCACAAAACCAGCATCAGGAATTGGGACAGACAGACACCAGCCACATACAAGGAGAGGGCTGGCCAACAGCCGGCTGGTTTCCAAATAAATGTGGGTTTTTTTAAGGATTCCATGGGGATTTTCATTCCTTCACCTGCACAAAATCCATTTAAACCTTCACACTAGGAAATGCATCACAGTCTATCCCTCAGGCCTAAGGCAAGTGACACTGACCTCAGAAGCCCTGACTTCAGGTTTCCCTCAGAGCTGTCCCTATGCAGATTAACTATGGGTAAACTAATATAAGTTACTATAAATTAATGACTGCTGTGACAAAACCTATGGGTTGAACCCATCCCTTGTCACAAACAAGACTAGTGAGGTTTGGATCTCAACCCTGACTTCACTCCTGTACCCACACCACCAATAATGAGGGAGAAATGAGGTCTCCCCAGGCTGCCCACCCTGGTATCCAGCTGGGGGTCTGAACTCAGCCTTGTTGGAGCAGAAGAAAAATGGGAAAGAACTCCAAACCAACAAAACAAAAAACAAATCAAACAAACAAGTAAAAAAAACCAAAAAACAAACAAACCCCAAACCAAACAAACAGAAACCCAAAGCCAAACCAAAATAAAAACCCCTAAACAAATAAAAAATAACCAAGCAAACCCAAAAAAAAAAAAACCAACAAAAAAAACACGTAGCAGACTAACGTTATTCTGCAAAGGGAAAGCCATCCTTCCAAGCCCTGAAAGGGCAGGGAAACAAACCCAAATCTCCCCTGAAAATACACTGTAATAACAAATGGCTGCAGCCAATGCTTTGCTCTATTTAGGGCTGTAACAACAAGGCTGGGTCTACCCAAACAAGCTCCATTTTTGTTACTCTAATGTGCCAAAAAAAGGGAGCAGTCAGAGCAGGCAGAACAAACACACAAGTCTAACTCTCTGTGCAGAAATGCAGAACTCATTGGGGCTGGAATCTCTTCCCCAGGAAGAGGGAGAAACCCCTTCCCTATGACTGACCCAGACCAGGAAACACGGGCAGGGAGTGGCACAGAGGGTGCACACAGCAGGGACAAAAACCTGTCTCTGCTCAGCCTCTCTGAAAATCCTGCCTTTCAACCCCCCCAGAATTTTGTAAGCCACACCCCCCCAGCCCCACAATATTATTTTGCTCTGTGCTCCTCTTCCTCACCCCACAGGTACCCAGAAATTCCAGCTGCACTGCAAAAATCCCCAAGCAATTGATTCTCTGACAGAGCCATGAAAACCAAGGGGAACAAAGGCTCCCAAGGGGTGACAGAAACCTCTCCCTGCAAAGAGCTGCTGCTGCTATCAGCTGATCCATCTGCAGAGCCCCTGGGGCTCTGCCAGGCTCCCAGACACATCTGGCCTGCTTTGCCCAGGGGTGGGGTGAGCTCTGAGCCCAGTACTCACTGCTGGAAGGGGATAAAATGCTGCTTTTCCTCGTCGTCCACCTTGCCGTGGATGATGTCAGTGATGTCCATCACTGCAACGACAGCAGAGTGTCACTCAGAGCTGCCAAGAACCCAGGGAGAGCTTTGCCCTCTCAAAATGGAAACAACAAGGGGTTACTTTGGGCCAGTGTCACTCAAAATGAGGGCTCTGAGCGACCTGGGGTAGTGGAAGGAGTCCTGGCCATGGCAGGGGTGGAACTGGATGGGATTAAGGTTATTTCCAACCCCCAAAAAATCTGGGATTCTGTGACAGAATGGAGGGCATCACTCTCATTTTAACTTTTCAAAAAGCACATTTACATTGATGTGCATGTCAGCCCATAGCTGACAGTGTGACTATATTGAACACATATATATTCACACACAATATATTCAATATTCAATATATATTCACACACGTTCAGTGTGAATATACTGAATACACCCTGATAAAATACTCTTATATAAAATACACTCTCTGAGAAAAAACAGGTGGGACTGGCAGAGGAATTCCACTTATATTCAAATGCTGCTTTCTTGGAAATTGATTTCCACCAAGGATTTCAAGCAAGCCCCTTCACAAGAAATCCCAGGAATACAATAAGAATTGTCAGTCTGGTTCACCCAAGTTCCTTTAAACCTCCAGCTTTATCCTGTGAGTCCTGAGGAGCAAATCCCACCCTGCTAAGGCCCTGAGGAGTGTGCTGCAGCCTGGCAGCCTGCTATCTCTGTGGGAGGTGACAAAGTGAGCAGTGACAGTGCTGGATCTCCAGCTACCCCCTTCATGAAAGGTCTCACAGGGACAATTCATCCTCCCTGGAGCAGAGCTGCTGGCCCTGGCAGCTCCCAGGCTGTGCTGGCACCTACAGCACACAGCTGCCAGCTCCCAGCCCCGTGTCCCCGTCCCCCCAGGGGTTTCTGGTGCCCCGGGGGGCAGTGCCCACCTGCCACGCCGAAGGGCCTGCGGAGCCCGCAGGTGTGCTTCTTGCCATCCTTCAGCTCCATGTGCCCCACCCGCACGATCTGGCACACCAGGCTGATCCGGGGCCTGATCAGGTCAGAGCTGCTCAAGTCCTGAAAAAGAGTTCACATCTACTGCCATCAATGTCCTGAGTGGAAAAGAAGAAAGAAGGAGAGAGGGAGGGAGGGAGGGAGGGAAGAAGGGAGGGTGTAGTAGAAGCAGGCAATGCCCCAGCCAGGGAAAAATGTGCTCTGACTCCATGATTTCAGAAGGCTGAACAATTGCCTGATTAAGCTATACTGTATTACACTAATACTATACTAAATTACATACTAATGAGATAATAAACTAAGGAGATACTAAAGAAAAACCCATGACTGTGTGAGGCAGCCAGGACACAGCTTTGACCCAAGTGGCCAAGGAAACAAAACAACCTTCGCCAGTGTCCAGTAACCAAATCACTTTGGGTAAACAGTCTCCATAACACATTCCACATGTGCCAAACAACAGGAGCAGTGAATAAAGATAAGAATTGTTTTCTCTTCTCTGAGCTTCTCACTGCCTTCCCCAGGAAAAATCCTGGGAGAGAGAATCATGGCTCTCTCTGTTCAGAGAATGTGAATGCCACACGAAGGGCTTTGTTGGGTTCTACACAGGTAAGAATGGTGGCCCTCTGGATCTGGAGGGAGACCACGAGGGGCAGGGACACACTGATAGTGCCAGGACACAGGGCCCAGAGGGCAGGGAGAGATGGGATACTGGGAGAAATCCTCCCCTGTGAGGGTGGGGAGAGGCTGGGATGGAATTCCCAGAGAAGCTGCCCCTCAATCCCTGGAAGTGTCCAAGACCAGGCTGGGGCACCCTGGGACAGTGGGAGCTGTCCCTGCCCATGGCAGGGGTGGCACTGGATGGGATTCAGGTCCCATTCTGGGCTTCTCTGAACTTACAGTAAACACTGCTTGGAGGTTGTTCAGTTTCTCAATTTCTTTAGGCATCCCATTGCTGCCCCAACGAACCAGGTAATTTTCACTGCAAAGAGAGGGAGAAAAAGTAAATTCTAACAAATCAACACCTGCCATCTTCATTGCCTGGCAGAAGCCCAACAGCATTTTGGCATTTTAGGAATATTTGACCAATCTTTTATCCCAAAATGTCTCTGAAGTGACTCACTCAATGGAGGCAGGATGGGGTGAGCCCTGGCAGCTGCTTCCCTGGACAATTCCCACTGCATGGCCACACCTGATAACTGCAGTGATGGACACAGAGTGTTCCTGACACAGAACTGCCTCCCTGATAAAGCTCCTCATATCCTCCCAGCTCTTCAGATGAGAACTGGCACTGACTGGATAGCAATCATTTAAATCCATTATTTACTGGGAAACAATTAATAAAATGCTTAACCAAGGCTTGCAGCCACAGCAGGGAAAGTTAAGAATATAAAAAGTCAGTGTGGGATCAAACAAATACCCAGCTTTAGGAGGGACAATGCCTGGACTTCCTATCTCTCTGAAATTCATTCCAAAGTAATTGGAATTAATTTTCCCCCACTGGGGCAGCAACCAACAGAACTGGAAAACATCTGCTGGATCTCCCTTTCTAACCCGCTGACTTCCACGAATGATCACCCTGATGACTAAATTGCTTAAGAATTTCCAAAAAAAAAAGCCCCTACCTGATGAATTTGGAGAGGTCAGGGTCATAGAGGCTCATCAGCAGCTCTGCATCTTCCCCAATGTTGCAGACAAAGTTCTTGAAGTTCACATAGAGGCTGTAAGTGTGTGTGGAGTTGAATATTGGCTGTCCCCGGAGGTCCAAACTCTGCTGCAGGGACTGCAAAGAATTCCATATTTCCATTATATTTTATATTTCCACTATGAACAAACACAGGAGATTTAGTTCTGCTGCCAGGGGAGCACAACATTAAGAGGAATATAAAACCTCAGTGGGCACAGAGACTGAAGAGGGCAAACCAGGAACGCCAGAGGTACCTTCTCCTCCTGGATCCTCTCATCAATCCTCTTGGATGCAGTTTCATGGGCCTTGAAGAGGGAGATTGTGCTGGTTTCATCTGGGTCCAGGATGTTCCCGTTGTCATCTCGGACAACCAGGTCCAGACCCAGGATCCTGGACAGCCCCAGGAGACAAAAAAAGAGCCAGAATGTGGGAGCAGCCAAGATCAAATCACTGCCCCTGCTGCCAGTGCTCAACATCCCACTCCTTGGAATAACCTCACTCACTGCTGGTTTTCCTGCCTCAAAACACTCCTCCCTCCCATTTTACCATTAAAAGGAGAAGCAATTGTCAGGTAACTCATCCTAAGGTGACACCTCCCTCATTCCTGCTTAAATGGCTTCGGTTCAAAGGTGGATGAGTATCTACCAAGCTCACAGACTGCAGATGATTGTTATTCTTTGCCATAAGCTTCTTCTTCATTCACTTACTGGACCTGAATCACAGCTGACAGGCAGATAAATGAGTCCAGGAGGCTGCAAACCACTGAGGGCTGGGCTGTCTGTGGAGTCCTGCCCCTCAGCTGCTGATAAAGCAGAGCATTTCCCCACCACATCCAGACCCAGGCACACACTGTGCTCCGAGGGAAAGGCCACCCTGTGCCAGGATTTGTGCAGAATTAAGAGAGGAGAAGTCCTGCCAAGGCACAGAGATCTGTGGCACACCAAGAACCAACGGCTCCATGTCCACCTGCCAGGTGGCCATGCTGTCACAGGGACTCAAAGCTGCCATTTCACCTCATGTCAGCCTAATTCAGTGCCTGCTTTTGCATTAGGAGCCTTCCCTGGGGTTTGGGAGCCTCCTCTGCCCTCCAGGTGGAGTTTGGAGCTCACCTGTTGCCATAGTCAATCTTGGCAGTGACTTTTTTCTTGAGCTCAGCCAGTTCATCCTTGGGCAGGGTCCCGGAGAGGATTTGGGATCTCCACTCTATCAGGCTGTAGGTGAGCTGCTGGACGTGCCTGAACTGCGTGGTTTTGTTGTTCTGAGACAAAAAAAAAAAAAAAAAAAAAAAACAAATTTTAATAAAGGAAAACTTGGGAACCTTAGCTCAGCAACCCTTCTGAAATGTGTGCAGCTGCAGAACCACACAAGTTTTATACAACTAAAAATACCTGGCACTTTGTGACACCACGAGATCAGAGCCATGCAGTAAATTCTGCAGCACTTGGCACTGCCAAGGTTTAAGTGCCTTTAAGATCTTTAAGTGTCTTTAAGGGCTTTACCTTTCCCTGGGACATTATTTCAGAAAAACCTCACCCACTAAAAACAGACCTCTGGTGATTTCCAGCACTTCCAGACTGCTCTGATGGAGGTTTTTTATCAAGAGGACAGAGAAATGATGGTAAAAGACCACAACTGAACAAGGACACTGAACAAAACCTGCCTGGTGAAGAGTCCCCTCCTGCCATTCCTTCTGTTACCATCTCCAACTAATGAAAACACTTCCCATGCCCTTCACTGGTTCCACCCCCATAAAATCAGTCCCATCCCCACACCTTGTTCCTGCACCTCCAAGGATGTAATTAAACATGGATATGTGGTAACCCACCCTGCATAGATAAGTAAACAAGCTTTTAAAGTGTTAGGGAGAACATTTAACCCATTAAAAAGAGAACCCAGGCTTCCCTCTCTCTGCCACCTCAGAGGGGCAGCTCCTAGGAGGATTCTGACCCTTTTCACAAGGAAGTGCCACAGATTTGAGTTACTGGCACAGTGATGAGGTTATTCAGCTCCAAAGGAGAAATTCCAGCCTAATTCAGTGCCTGGTTTAGCATTAAGAGCCTTCCCTGGGGTTTGAGAGCCCAAAGCCCAGGAGCTGAGTTTGGGTCACATCCCCTCTACAGCCAGGGCCACCTTCTGGTGCTCACGGGGGCTGGAGCTGTTCATGGTGAGCTGCAAACCCCTGCTCCCACCCAGCACAAAAAGAACCTAATTGCAATTATCTCCCATTCTCATCTCTGCAATGAACAGGAATGATATCAACTACTCGTATTTCCCTCAAATTTAAAGGTATGAAAACAATCCTCCCTTTGGTTTGGGTGAACACCAAGGTGCTGACGGGGGCTGCCTGAGTTTTTAGCTCTACAGAAAGGATATTTGAGATATATTTCATAAACAAAACAAACTCCCCATGTTCTTGTATAAAAAAATTTGCAAAGAAAAGGCAATTTGTGTGAATTTCCAGAGCAGACCTCAATTTGACCTGAGTTATCTCCACAGCTAATTCCTATTAAACCAATTAAAAACTCTCCCCAGTTTTGTATTTATTTTGCAGTGGAGATAAAGCCACTGCTGCAATGAAACCCACAGAAATTAAAGAAGTGAAATTAAATGCTGCCAAAATAAAAAATCCCCTCATGTTTCCTTTTTCTCCTCAAATGTCTCCTTCCTCCTTTAGCTTTTAAAAAAAAATTCTTTTAATACATACTACAGGGAAAATAAAATAAACTCCAATCCATTTTAAACCACAACATTTTCCAAACCTATTTTAAGACTCATAGTGGTTAAGCAGAGGAACATGAAAGATTTCTTCTTGTTAAAAAAAACCAGATTCTGAGGCTGGGATCTGAAAGTTATTCAGAAATAAAAAATGCCAGGAACAAAACTCTCTTTTCACACAGTAATACCATCACGTAGAGCTTCTCATTAAACTGAGAGGGTGGAACAAATTCTTGTGGTTTCGTGGCACACAAACACAACTTATTTGTGGCCTGGTGAAATTTCCAATAGGAAAACTTGCTCTGGGTGCACTGGGTGATTAGAGCTCATTTAAACTCACTCCCTCTTCTTAATTAAAGTATTGGAGCACATTTTGTGCAGGCTGAACTCGTTACTGCTCAGAGGAAAATCAAATTTGACTCTTTAACGTGCCTTTAAAACAAAGCAACTCCCTGTGGACTTATTTCTTTGAGCAAGAAGCACCTGCTGCAGGACAGTCCTGAGACCCCTGCAGTGCCAGGCTGGTGCCACTGCCGGGGTGACTCTGCTCAGGCTTTAGGGCACGAGAGCTCCTTCCCCACCCTGCTGAGAGCCCCAGGCACGCAGGCCTTGGAGCAGCCGAGGCATTCCTTCTGTGGGGCAGGGACAGGACCCAGGGATGGCTGGGGCTGTGCCAGGGAGGGTCAGGCTGGGGTTTGGGGAAGTGTTTTTGCCTCAGAGGGGCTGGCACTGCCCAGGGAATGGGCACAGCCCCGAGGCTGCAGAGCCCCAGGAGCCTTTGGGCCCCGCTCCAGGGATGCCCAGGGTGGGATTTGCGGTGGCTGTGCAGGGCTTGGGGCTGGATCAGCGATCCCTTCCAGCTCAGGACATTCCATGATGTGGTTTTTGACAATCACATCTCCCCCCACAAGACACCCCTGGTTCTGTCCCTTCCCCTGTTCTGCTCCCCAGGGACTCTCTGGGTGGGGATCAGCCAGGCCATGGAGCTCCCACAGCACTCCCAGCCCAGCAGAGCTCACCCCTGCCCACAGCTGTGTCCAAGCCCCACATCTGTGCCCAGCTGGGTTTTCCTGCCCTCATTCAGAGCTGGCACACCACAGGCAGGGCAGAGCCTGGATTTCCAGATGAGCTGGGCCTGCCAGCCAGCCCTGACAGGGTGCCAGGGTGACCGACCTGGGCCAGGCCCTGCTGCCCCAGGGCAGCGTCACCCACAGTGTCACCCTCCCAGTGCCAGATCCCACATCTGCACACCCAGAGCCCCCCATTGCATCACTCAGCTCTGCCAGGCAGAGGCACAGAGCGCCCTGCAGAGCCCAGGCTGAGCTCACCTGCACAGACACAGCCCCAGGCTGAGCTCACCTGCACAGACACAGCCCCTGGGCTCTCACCTGCACACACAGAGCCCTGGGCACTCACCTGCACAGACACAGCCCTGGGCACTCACCTGCACACACACAGCCCTGGGCACTCACCTGCACAGACACAGCCCTGGGCACTCACCTGCACACACACAGCCCCTGGGCTCTCCCCTCACAGACCCAGCCCTGGGCTCTCCCCTGCACAGACCCAGCCCTCTGCTCTCCCCAGCACACAGCCCTGGGCACTCACCACGTACAGCTTGTGCCAGATCACTGCCCACTCCCGCAGCGTGGCCGTCAGCTCCTGGCCGAGGGGCAGCTCACTGGGAATCACTGTCTCGTGCTGCCTGGGGAGAGAAGGGACACAACCAGGGAAAGGTTTCACACTCAGGGTTAAAACTGAATGGAAAACACCCTTTTCTGATAAACGTAGAAATGGAAGTTCCAGAGGAGTTGATGTTCACACAATTCACTCACACATGCTGTCGAGACCCTTAAGCTGTTCCCAGCACACGCATCCACATTCATCATCCATTTTTAATGCAAAATGCTGCAAGCTCCTCTCACTCCTCTTACTCCCAGTGGATCTGTTCCAAACCCAGCACAAAGTTTGGAAGAATCCCCACTTGCAATGGTAACAGTTACGTGATAATAACAGTTGAAAAAGAAGTGTTTTATAAAGTTCCTTCCTTTGCAGCCGCTCTTTTGCTCTCAGTTAATGAGCACAGACCCAGCTCAAGGAATCCAAGGAGGAGTCATTTCCTCCAGTGTTTTCCAAGACAGGAAGGAATCCACGCTCCTGCTGGGCCTTGGCTGCCAGCAGGAGTGTGTTATGACTTGCAGGAGTCCCCAGGAGAGCTGGATGGAGCTGGACTGAACTCCCCACCACGGACTTGTCCAGCAGAGCTTCCTTAACTCTGCAAATCATCTCCTGCTGCCCCTACTCCCGTCTGCTCTGCCTGCTCAGTTCTCTGAAAAATGGAATCATGCAGCTCAGAAGGTACACCCTGGGTTTGTGACAGCCACAGCTATTTAAATTGGTTCTTCTGGGGTTTAAATGGAATGAAATTCCCTGGGTTTTGCTGCCAAAGAAGTGCCAACCTACCCCCGGTCCTTCACGATGGCCTCTTTCAAATGGATGTAAGTTTCTGGGAAAATGCCCTAAAAATAAAGAGAGAAATTAAATAAATCAATCCTACTGTGGGATAGGATGTGACAAGAAGATATTTAACAAAAAACAGGGGAAAGGAGTAAGAAATGTCCCAGTATTCCAGGAAAAAAAGGACAGGGAGGAGCAGCAAGTTCCACATTGGCAACTCAAGAGAATCTGATTCCTTGTTTTACTCCAATGACCCTCATGACCCTGCAGGAAATGCTGGAAAATCCTGAAAATTATCAGTCGTTGCCATGAAATATTCCTGGAGTCCTCTGTCAGGCTACCCTGTGCTCCCTAGAAAAGCTCCCTCCACCAGCATCTGCAGAAATTCCCAAATTTTTGTTGTTACAGAGAAACCTTCTGGAAATGCTGGAATCCTCTTCTGTCCCCTTTTCTCTCCTCCTTACCCCTGAAAGCAGAGGCTGTGGGGGATGTTACACAGGAGAGGTGCCAGCACTCCTGGGGGAACCTGCATTTCCAGGCAGCTTCCAGCCCAAGCTCCAGCAGCTTGCCTGAGAGCCAGGGATGTGTCATTTCTGGAATATTTTCCAGTCAAAACTCTGATATTCCCATTAAATATAATTAATGCTGGATGTGCACAGGTCCCAGAGCATCGTGATAAAGCAATAAACTCCTGTATGGAGATGGGAACAGGTAATTTTGGAAGTTCCAACTGCATTCCTCATGCTTCCAGTGGAGGAATTCCCAACACATGGCTCTGAACTTTCAGCTCAAGGTCACTGATTTCTGTCCCTGAGGACAGGACACTGTGGCCAGGAGTCCTGCCTGAGGTTAAGACAAGAAATGCAGGAGTTTTCAGCACCAGATGGGGTCTGGCAAGGTGTGAAATTAAAATGGGAGTCACCCAGAAGTGAGGTCGTACCTTCTTGGATTTATTTCGGAGTGTGTATCCTCGGTACCAGCCTGGCAAAGCAAACACAGATATTCGTATTTAATAATTTCCTGCTGACAGCAATTAATACAAACTGTGATTCTCACCACCTTTCTACAACACCAATTTATTGAGTTTTCATCTGGGATCCACTCCTGGGGAGACACCTCTGTCTGCAGGAGCTGAGCTCCCTGCCCTGGCACAAACCCTGTTTATCAATCCCACCTTGGTTAGATCTGAAGATTGCAAGACAGAAGCAATAATTGTGCTGCCCAGGCCTCAGGAGCAGATGTCTCTGAGAGAACATTTCTCCTCTCGTTGGCACCTGGGTTTTAACCAGGATTTCCATGGAAAGGGTTGGGTTGGGAGGGACATTAAAGCCCATCCAAGGAGATTATGTCCAGCTGAGTGGCAGCATCAAGAAGGCAAAGGGGTTTAAGGGAATAATCAGGCAAAGAGGAGACAAGGCTGACTTCTCTGGGTTTGTTTTAAATTTTTTTTGTTGTTTTATTGTTGGTCCCCCCAATATTCCTACATTTATCAAAGAAGGTTCCTTAAAGAACCATGGATCTGACACTTCTCAACCATAAATTAGAGATTAGAATGGTTTAATTCATATTTTATTAAGTATTTTTATGTGCATGTCGTTGTATTTCTATTTATTTGTGTTCTGAAGTGTAGCTTTGTGCCCCTTCTGCAGCAATGGGGAGGTACCTCCACCTCAAAAACTCCAACATTCCAGTAATAAGTTAGGAGGAAAGAAATTCCACTGCTTTCCACAGGAGGAAAACAAGATTATCCATTGCTCATGGAGCCATGGATGAGGTCCTGGATTAGGGATGAGAAGATTTAGGTTCTATTTTTATCTAAGTTGTCATTAATTGAAGGGGAAAGCACAAATTACTCAGGGTGGGAGACAGAGCTGATGGAATTTACCAGGGGGGGTTTTGGTCCCATTTAACACATTCAGCCCTCTGACAGCACAACTTCCTCCTGTTTCAAAGGGCCCCCTGGCCTTCCCCCCATTCCTGTAAAATATTTTGCAATCATTGCACAAAAGCACGTTGGGCCTGATTGTGCAAAGCTGTTTCTGCAAGCACCTCGTGCAACTTCTGTCGGAATTCTGCTCCCACCTTCAATAACTTCACCCATCACTTCAAAAGGAACATCAGTCTTTGGGCAGTGGTCAATTAATCACATGATTTCTTCTTCAATAAAACCCCCCAAAATCTTAAAACTTCAGAGGAATGAGACTGTTTAAGTGTTTGAGTGTTTTCCTCAAGCAGAGATGGGCTAAAAACAGAGAAGGGTTTTGCAGCTGATGAGGACGTGAAAAATTTCAGCTGCCCCAACACCCAGACTGAAATCTGAGCGAAAACAGAAATATAAGCAGACTTGCAAAGAAATGACTCAAAGTTTGGGGTTGTTTTGTTGGGGTTTTTTAATTGATCAAGTCCTCAACTTTACCCTTCACTAAATGGATTTTATGGAGTATGGAAAAGAAAAATCTAAGGACAACACTCCAGTGATGATCAAGCTCTCCGCAGTGATGCAAGGCCAGGCCACGTGTGGGACCACAAGGTCCCTGTTCCTCCTCCTGGGGGCCTGTCCTGTCCCACAGCACTCAGGGCATTGCTTCACCCTGCCCAGGGGTGACTCAAACCAGCAACAAATTCAAGGTAAACTTCTTTTCAGCAGGACCAGAACCTGCCGGGGTCACGGTATGTGCGCACACATTCCTTCCACTCACAGCATGGCTTTTCCCACAGCTCCCCTGAAATCCTACAGTTAACAAGAATAATAAATCCTGCAGACTGGGAGAGATTCCCCTCAACAGCAGTGTCCTCCCAGCTCCCTGCTCAAGGGCAGACTCCCTGCACTGGAGCAGCCTCAAAGTCCTGGAGGCAGCAAGGTTCCCTCCTTTTCCTGGATTCTGCAGCTCGGGCTGAACCCTTGGCAGGCAGGAGGAGCACGCACTGCGTGTCTGCTTGTCAGGGGAAGGAGAAACCTTGGACAAAGGGCTCGTGCCCTTCTGCAGCCAGAGGCAGGAGGGGAAAACAAAGCCTTGCTCTGCAGCGTGGGACCTGAACTGACAACCCCGGGCTCTGCAGTGGGTTTGGCTGTGTTTGTGTAAAAGGGAAAGGGATGCAAGAAAAGAGATCTGAGAGCTCGCAGGTCTCCTACACAGATTGTTACTGGCACACAGCAGCATCCCTGGAAGTGTTTCCATCCCTGGAAAGGTTGGAGCAACCTGGGATAGTAGACGGTGTCCCTGCCCGTGGCAAGGGGTGGGACAGGATGATCTGAATGTCCCTTCCAACCCAACCATTCTATGGACATCAGCTTGGACTGGAAATACCTGGAACCTTCAGTTCACAATGCTCAGCCTGTGGTTTCCCTCTAACATCCTTCCCTATGTCCTTTGTAAAAGTCGGAGCTGAATTTCCAGGGGTATCACCCCCTGATGAATCCCTGGCAAAGGGGAGCTGCAGGTCAGAAAAATGAATCAATCACCCCCTGTGCTATTCCCCACCATGTTATTCCCCTTGTGTTATCCCCACTGTGTGATCCCCACTGTCTTATCAACCCCTGTGTGATCCCCCCTGTGTGATCTCCTGTTATCACTCTCTATGTGATCCCTCCCGTGTTATCATCCCTGTGTGATCCCCCCGTCTGTTATCTTCCCTCTGTTATCACCCCAAATCTTCCCAGCTGCACTCACCACCCACCCCAGCTGCATCAGCCTAACTTGGAAACTGGGGCTTGGAAAACAAGAGGTAAAGAGTGCTCACAGCTCAGCCCCAGTCTGGGTGGGATTTTGGGGTGTCTGTGCAGGGCCAGGGGTTGGGCTGGATGATCCCTGTGGGTCCCTTGCACTCAGGATTTTGTGATTCCAGCCTTTGCAGTGGCAGCAGAACCCAGCAGGGATTTTGCAATTTCAAGAAGTTTCCTGGCACTGTGAGGCAGCACAGGAGCAGCACCTGACTGCAGGGACTGCCCAGAGGGTTTGGGAGCCACCTCAGGAGAGGTTTGTGCAGCCCAGAACTGCCCCAAAGTGCACCCAAAATTCCCTTTATTGCCTGTGCCTGAGCCCCTGAGCTGTCTGTGTTGTGTCTGGCAGCCCTGGGAGCAGATAACATTTACTGCAAACACCAAACCCCAGCACCCACCCCAGGACTGCTGCTCCTGGCAGGAACGTGCCATGGATCCCCCTGGATGGATCCCTGCAGAGCCAGAACCCCAGAGCACAGCCAGCTCCACCTGGGTTCAGGAAATGCAGGAAGGTTCTGGATCAGGGAGCAGCAGCCCTGGGGACACGGTGGGATGTGCTCCTGAGCACCCTGAGCTGGGCAATGGCAGCCACAGCACCCAGGGGCTGCTGGACCCAGAGCCCCTGACAAACTCCCTGAGCCCCCACGAACTGCACTGCCAGCCTGGGGAATGCCCTCAGCTATGGGCAGGGCAAGGGGAGCCAAAAACGACTGCACAGAGCATCCCCCAATGCCAAAATTTACTGTATCCCAAAAACGACTGCACAGAGCATCCCCCAATGCCAAAATTTACTGTATCCCAAAAACGACTGCACAGAGCATCCCCCAATGCCAAAATTTACTGTATCCCAAAAACGACTGCACAGAGCATCCCCCAATGCCAAAATTTACTGTATCCCAAAAACGACTGCACAGAGCATCCCCCAATGCCAAAATTTACTGTATCCCAAAAACGACTGCATCCCCCAATCCCAAAATGACTGCACAGGGCATCCCCAACCCCAAAAATGATTGCACAGAGCATCCTCAACCCCAAAAATTACTGCACCCCAAAAATGACTGCACCGGGCATCCTCAACCCCAATAATGACTGCACAGGGCATCCCAAACCCAAAAAATGACTGCACAGGGCATCCCCAACCCTAAAAATTACTGAACAGGGCATCCACAGCCTCAAAAATGATTGCACAGGGCATCCCCAACCCCCCAAAAAATAACTACCTAGGGAATCTCCCAGCCCCAAGAAATGCCTTCACAGGGCTTCCTCCTCCCAACCCCAAGGAATTATTTTATAGGGCATCTCTCAACCAGCCAAAACGATTTCACAGGGCTTGTCCCAACCCCCAAAAATTATTTCACATATTTCCCATATTCACATATTCACATATTTCATCATTTCACAGGGCAATTCCCAGACCCCAAAAAATGACTCCACAGGGCATCATCCAACCCCTAAAAATTACACCACAGGGCGTGTCTCAACCCTCCAAAAAATGACTTCATGGGGAACCTCCCAGCCCCAAAAATGACTCCACGGGGCATCTCCAGCCTTTCCTCCCCCAGAGCCCCCACCCTGCTTCCATGGAAACTTTTCCTCAGTCGAGGCTTGTGTGTCCAGATAAGAGCAGTGATTAGAGAACAAAACCAGTTTTTATCAGCTCTGGTGGTGAGCAGGCAGCATCAGCATGAAAAGGAGCAGAAAAAGCCTCTTGTGAGAACATTTATCCTCAAAACCAGAGCCACAGAGAGCTGAGAACACAGCTGAGAGCTGATATCCCCCAAAAAAAAGAGATTCAGGAATACACAAGCTCCTCCCAGGCAGGCAGAATATCAGAATGGGGAGGGGTTGAGGTGATTTTACAGGAAATTAGAGCAGACCCACAGTGGAGTCACCATCTCTGCACCTCCCCCTGTACACTCCCAACTGTCTGGCCTGGATTTCTGGCTGCTCTTGCTGGGAAAGGGGATTTTTGGTGCCCTGCAGGAATTCCGAGGTGCCTCAGCCACAGATTCCTGCTCCCCACTGATGCCTCAGCATATGGGATCCATCACTTTCCCCTGCACACATGAAAACATTCCCCTCTTTCCCAAATTATTCGCAGGCAATTTTCCCCTGACAGAGCTCCAAACTGGGAGATTTCAGGCCAAAAAAAGGGTGCCATTTATGTACTCATTCCCTGTTCCTGTCTCTGTCCTGACAGAGCTCCAAACTGGGAGATTTAAGACAAAAAAAGGGTGCCATTTATGTACTCATTCCCTGTTCCTGTCTCTGCTGAACTGATTACAATAATAGGGGCTACACAATGATAAAAAATTAAAAACAGGGAGAAATAAATAAATCCCCTCAAATTTTGGCAAGTCCAAGACGCCTCCTCTTCCCGAGGGAGTTTTCCTCCTCCTGCCCTGTGTCTTTTTGCAGAACCATGTCATAAATCAGTGATTTCCACAGGGTATTTCCCCTTTTCCCCTCTCCCCCACCACGGTCACCCACAGAGGGGTAAAACCACGACAGACTCTGCCAGGACTGGGAGCTGCTGCTGAGGAGGGAAAGGGAGCAAAGGGCCAAGAACAAACTGCTACAGGAGCAGCTCCCTGTTCTCAGTGCTGAGCCAGAGCACAGAGTCTGCATTCAAACTGATGCTGCTTTGTGAAAATAATTGGATTTATATTTTACCTTTGAGTTTTGGAGAGGGAAGCAGTGACCAGAGCATTCCTTGAAATGATTGAATGGCTCTGTTCCAGTCTTAACACTGAAATCTTTGTCAAAGAATCAAATTTTATAGGGAGGGTTGAAACACTCAAGTGTCATTTTAATCTTTAAATTAAGAAGTTTGTTCACTCTGTGGTTTGCATTAAGTTATTATGAAAAATGTCCCAGTGAAGGACTAGGAGAAACAGCCTAAAAAGGGCATGGAAGCTCCACAACTGGAGCATTTTAAGGACATTTAATGCCAGTTTGTGATATTACAACTCAAAACAACCTGAATTATGAAATAATCCGCCCTTTCCTCTCCTTTTCTGTCATCTACTCAGATCAAGAACTAACTCAGGTTAAAAGCTAGGGGTTTTTCTTAAATTATTATTCTTATTTTCCAGCAGGATCAGTTGATCCCATGAGCCTGGCCTGGCCCAAAGAGGAGCCAAAGCAAAGAGGTGAAAAACAGCAGTGAACAGCCAGAATTCAATGTTTCTCTCTCTTTTATTGCTGCCTTGAGATGAAACCTTGGTGAAACCTTACCTTTATAAACTCTGCCTGGAACAGCACAGAGATGAGAAATCCTCTGCACTTCTACATTTTTAACACTATTCTAAAAATTAAGATGCTACAGCAGCCACTACGCACCAAATCTGTGCTTTGGGGTGTAAAAGAAGTTGAAAATACAGATCTAAAATTTGAAAAAGAATCTTGATTTGTTCCTGTTTTCCCTTCAAACCCCCTGTGAGCTGCACCTACCTTCGTACATCTCCAGGATGTGAACAGTGTCCCCCACCTGCAGGGACAGCTCCACGTCCTGCACGGCATCGTAGTTGTAGATGGCTGAAAAATGGGGAGAAAAGGGGCAAAAGAGAGCCATGAAAACCATGAACCATGAACCATTTCCTTTGGGAAAGGCGATAAAGGGATGAAGTCACTCTGGGTATGGAATACACTGGGAAAGGACATAATGGATGTATTTCCAGATTTTATCATGAAGTATCACTAACAGAGAACAAAGGTGGGGTTTTACCTTCCAGACAGGCCTGGGACACTTCTGCAGGAGCTGAACATTCCCACTTTGCCAAAACCTGCCCTCAGAGCTCACCACCCCCTCAGGCACAACAAGTTCTGGAATTATCATTTTCAGTCTTTCTCAGGAGTAACTCCAGCATCAGAAAACATCAGAAATGGGATGTTAATAAAAACCACCCCCAATCCAGACTCAAACACTCCTTTCCCAACCAAATCACCCTTGTTTGCTCTGCCCAGCCAAGAACCAATTTTAGCACCAAAACTTGGGATTCTGTGCCAATTTAATCCCTCCCAAAGACAAAGTTAAGCTGGATGCTTATGGGATTTCCAGGGGGAAGAGGATTAAGTGCAGGAGCCCACACTCCTGGAGTTCCCTTTCCCTGGGACCTGCTGCAGCTTCACTGGGCAAAGCAGAGCCCTCCCTAGCACCAGGCAAGAAAGTGTAAATTAAATTTGCTTTCAAACCAAGACATAAAATCAGTGAAATGCTTTGCTGTGGTTCAAGGAATTGTCAGCAAAGTCAGAGCAGGTCAAACCCAGACCACCTAATTTATTTAAAATACTGATTTAAGAATAGATCATATCCTAAACGCAGCAATGAAATCTTCCCAAAATTCCCATATTTATGTATCCCTGAGGAAATCCATTGGTGAAGAACCACATTTGTTTTTAACAAAGCAAAAAAAAATCACCCAAACATTTTCAGAGAATTCTTGAGACTTCCCAAAGTTTGTGTTTAAGCTCTGGACTGGGACTGAAATAAATAAATAAAAACCAGAGCTCTTCTGCCAGGAAATTCCCATGAAGTGCTCCCATTCCCAGGGGATGAGGTGCTGTGCCTCCTGGCAGGGCTCCAGCACATCCTGGGGCTTTCACCACCGGGAATTCTCTCCCAGATTGGAGCTTTCTTCAAAATATTGTGGCTACAAATCTCCCAGCAGGAGCAGGCTGGGGATCCCTGCAGGACCCGATCCCAAGCAGGGACAGCTTCCTCTGCTGCAGGGGTTTGTCCCCAGGGCCCCAGTTTGTGTCACAGATACATGGACAATGCTCTGAACCCATTATTTCCACAGGATTACCGGAATTTTAATGGATTTCTGCTCCTAAAAGCTGCTTCTGCACCCACCTTCCTCTTCCTCCCCACAAAGGGGCTGGAAATCAGGATGTTAAAGCTGACTGGTGAGCTGGGTGTGCAGTTCACACACCTTAAAGACCCCAGAACTGGCCTATAAGTAAAAATTCCATTCACATCTTAACAGAAAAATCTGGATAATGCTCATGGCCAGAGGTGGACGTGAATGAGAAGCGTGGAATTGGTTTGGGTTGGGAGAGATTTAAATCCCACCCAGTGCCAGCCTTGCAGGGCAGGGGCAGCTCCCACTGTCCCAGGGGCTCCAGCCTGGCCTTGGGCACTGCCAGGGATCCAGGGGCAGCCAGAGCTGCTCTGGGAATTCCATCCCAGCCCCTCCCACCCTCCCAGCCAGGACTTCCTTCCCAATCTCCCATCCATCCCTGCCCTCGGGCAGTGGGAGCCATTCCCTGTGTGCTGTCCCTCCATCCTTGTCCCCAGTCCCTCTCAGCTCTCCTGGAGCCCCTTCAGGCTCTGGAAGGGCTCTGAGCTCTCCCTGGAGCCTTCCCTGCTCCAGGTGAGCACTCCCAGCTCTCTGCTCTCCAGGTGACATCCCCAGCTCTCCCTGGATCTCTCCCCTCTCCAGGTGACATTCCCAGCTCTCCCTGGATCTCTTCCCTCTCCAGCTGACATTCCCAGCTCTCCTTGGATCCAGGTGACATTCCCAGCTCTCCCTGGATCTCTCCCCTCTCCAGGTGACATTCTCTCTCCCTTTCCCAGGTGACATCCCCAGCTCTCCCTGGATCTCTCCCCTCTCCAGGTGACATCCCCAGCTCTCCCTGGATCTCTCCCCTCTCCAGGTGACATTCCCAGCTGTCCCAGCCCTGCAGAGGGGTCCCAGCCCCGGAGCACCCCCAGTTCCCCTCCAGGTCCCTGTGGCGCTGCAGGGCTGCCACACCCAGGGATTCCCACACACAATCCCCACATGCCCTGGCTTTTTCTGGGACAATCACTCATTATACAAACACCAGGCTGCATTTTTCCCATAAACTGCTGCCCAGGGAAAGGTGGGTGGACACAGGCCCAGCCTTTCTGTGGGAACACAGAGTTAATTCAGCGCCAAGAGCACCAGCGAGGACCCAGCCGTCCCCTTCCCCTTCCTAAAGATCACAGCAGCCACAAGACAGAACTGACCCCTGCTTTCCCCCTGCCTGCTCCACCAGGCAGGTTTCACATCCCAACACGCAGCATTTACAACCTGGAGGAACTCCCACATCAAAAAAAACCCAACAAAAAAAGTCAATTTTATCTTTCCTTGCCATGCCAGACTGTACTAAGCCAGAACAGAGGGTCACTGTCTGAAACCTCCTCCCTCGTGCTCTTGTACAAGATTATAAAAGACAAATTGCTGGCATATTTTCCCTGGGAACTTTGCTGGTTGGAAGTGATGTTTCCTGCTGCTGGAAGTCAGAGCTGTTCCTCAGCCATCCCATCTGCAGGGATTTGTGCTCTGAGCCCCCTCCGTGACCTCTCACCGACTTGAAAGGAAAAGGAAGCTTCACAGCACAAACATGGGCATGGTGTGGAAAAATAAAACCCCTTCACTTAAATCCTGACAGAGCAGCGAGAAAGGAAGAAGGAAAAATAATACAGGGACTTTTGTATTCAAATTTGCAGCAATATCTGAAGTTAAGTCTTTTTGCTCCGAGCTAAACTTAGCTGTGATTTTGTCCTTTGAAATTCACTTCAGAGTGCTGATCCTGCTTCTTTTATCATCCCAGATGAAAAGCAGCACTGAAATTGAGGAAATTTAATCCAAATAAGGAGGTAGAGGTGGAAAACACGAGCTTGGGTTTGTTTAATGATAATTTCTTTGAGCACAACTGGAGGCAACGTCTCGGTTTGGTTTAGTGCTTCAGTTTGGTTAAAAGCTGAAGAATGTGTTTTCCAAGTGCACCCGGCCCATGGAATCCCTCAGGATTGGAAAGGGCAGCAGATAATTCCATGAGCAGTTGGTTTTATGGCACAGCCAGGGCCAGAAGGTGAAGATAAGCAGCAATTTTCCTGCTCCAGGGCAGAGGGTGATTCCTCAGCGGGGCTGGAGGAGGAACCCTCAGGGCATTGCACAACCTCGGGGGATGCTCTGCCCCAAAGTCACCCCAAAGCAGGGACTGCACGGTGGCAGAGGGAGCCTGGCAGAGCCAGGGCTCAGGAGGGTGCTCAGGGAGCAGGTCTGGCCCCGTCACTGCCCTGGGCCACCAGGCCAGCCCAGCACACACCCCTGAGCACGGCACCACAGCTCACACAGGGCACGCCTCAGCGCCAGGCACGGGGCACAAAGCAAAAGAACAGTTCCACTGCAGGTGAAAACCCCAAAACACGCTTTAAAACCCACAAAGCTCCTCTTTGTGCAAGAGCCCCCGGAGAAGCCTCGGTGTGCAAGAGGTCTGTGAGCAGCTCATGGAACCTGAGCTGGGTGGAACCAGGGACAGATGGGGCATTTCAGGAGAAAGGGCTTCAAAGTGACACAGGGGAGGGTTACATGGGATGTTGGCAAGGAATTCCTCCCTGTGAGGGTGGTCTGGAGCTCCCACAGAATTTGTGGCCCCATCCCTGGAAGTGTCCAAGGCCAGGTTGGAGAGCCTGGGACAGGGGAAGGTGTCCCTGCCATGGCAGGGGTGGGATGGGATGAGCTGCGAAGTCTCTTCCAACCCAATCATTCCATGATTCCATGCTTCTGTTAATTCTAGACCCATTTTGCCCAGATTCATTCCTTTTCAAGACTGCCCTAAAGGCCAAGCCGGGCTAAAACGCCTCAAAATGCAAAGAGAAGGAAGCAGCAACTGCCACCCACAATTTCTGTGTAACTCAAATCAGAAGGAAATGGAATCTTTCCCTCCACGAGGGCACTTGAAATGTGCATTACTGGCCTGGAAAACAGAGCCCCTGCAAGATCCATTATCTCAGAGCTGGCTCTGAGCCCCCCCTGCCCCACCCACCACAAAGACACAACAACCCTGTCCAAATGCCACGTCCCGCTCCCCCTGCCCTCCCCTCTGCCAGCAGGGGCTGGGGCTGCTCCCCAGAACAAAGGATTCCATTCAGCGCCCTGCAGGAGCTCCTTCCATCCCTCAGCCCCACAGCAAACCCCACAGCACACAACCAGAGTGATCTGATCTCTGCTGCAGCACTCAGGAATGGCCTTTCTGCAGGACAGCCTGGGATGGTCCCCGGTGCCAAGATCCAGCCAAAAACACAGTGGCTTTATTTAAAAAACAAGGAACTACCCAAGGAATTAATTCTTCAGAGGAACAAAGTCTTTTTTATGTATGGAGCAAAAACATTCTGGTAACTTCCCAGGAATTTGTGTCTGACAAACCGAGAATGGCATAATTAAGATTTAGATGTCAGGCCACTTTTCTGCTTCAAAAAAAAAAAAGTAATTCATGGTTCAACACTGGAAATACAGGCATTTAGTCACTGTTATGAAAAAATTCCCACTCTTGGATGGTGGTTGCTGCCATTCAGATCAATTCCAAAAGTTCTGAGTGAGTGCTGAGCATTTGGGATGTCAGTAATTCAGATTTAATGGGATTATGCAGCTGGAAATGCTTTCATTAACAGCCACCCTTAGACAGCAGAGCCTCTGAGGAGCTCAGGTGGACTATCCCTGCCCAGGGAATGAGAGGCTCTTTAGGGTCCTTTCCAGCCCCAAACTCCCTGGAATTCTGTGGGTTTA